GCAGTGAGAGAGTAAGCGCCATCGACCGCAGCAGCACTGCGCCAGCCGGCACATCTATCAATATTCGGCCGCGTCGCACCTCGCTGAGGGCTCCTGTCGATGTACCGGGTCCCGGACGGAGAGCCGACGGTGGGCTCATTACGGCAGCACGCCACGGCACAAGGTAAACAGACGGCGCGGCGGTGTGGTGGTGGCGCCGCCTGTTTTACCAGCTGGCGCCGGCAAACGGGGCGCGGACGACCACACCGCCCTCCGTCAGCGAGGAAAAGGGTACTAAATACGAGTGGAACGGTCCGTGACCCACGCACAAGCAGGCTGTATACAATTAAGAAAAAAACTGGAGGAATGCATCACCAGATGAGAGGTCAATGAGGTCATTAAAACGAAGTTTACATGGTTTTGATCGCTGCTGCGTTGCGTTTTGACGAGCATGAGCCTCATGTGGAGCAGAAAATGCGATTCCAGGACGGTCCGGTTGGAGCGTCACGACTGTCAATGAGCGACGTGCGGAGTTTCACGTCGGACGCTTTAAACAAACGCCAGCCACGGGATGGCACGCCTTCCAAATAACACACCAGGCAATCTTTTCTACGTGGTGGGAATCGATGCCGCTTCAATCGCTTGTAACAGACTGCCGTTCTTCCAGCCTAGTTGATGCCTTTGTTTACCGTTGCAGCAATACGGTCTGATTCCATTCCATTGTACAGGCCCATAGTAGAAGGCTCATTGTAGAAGGCCCATAGGCAATTGCAGTGACGGAGCAATGGACTGCTGAAGGAGAGCAGTTCCGGGAGGACTATCACAGAACCACGCAGCCGAGGCGTCAGTGATGCGCACTTGGCATCGCCGCGCCGCCCAGTGCGCCTCTCACGACCGAGGTGACGATCAAAACAGGACATATGCGACGGTGTTCGAGATGCGCGAGTCAGAGGACCGCGCCGTGGCTACCAGTCACTCCTTCTGCGAACGTGACGCAGCGGCCGAAATGACGCAGGCCGGACCGGCCCGGACCGTCACCGAGTGTCAACAGTCGTCATGTGTCCCGATTTGACCAATGGCGCCGCGTTCCGCCGACGACACGGCCGAAACACACCCACCCGTTCAGGGAAAACATCGTGCCCACCTCGGCCGCCCGTCCGGCCAGCTCGCCGAGCTTACACGTCCCAGCTGACAGATGGGTCACTGAGCGATGGCGATAAACGGACACCTGCGGAAGGCCGGTCGGTCGGACCGCCGAGCGTGCCACTCAGTGGCCCGCAGGGCGCGCTGTGCCGTGATCACATCAGTCCGCGCGGCGGCCCCCTGATCGATACCCAACACAGCCTGTCCGACTGCAGGCCGGGCGCCACCGCACCCACCCCCACCACAGGTCCATCGACCGGCGACACAAGCAAAACAAAAACATACCGGCGTGCGTGGGGCGGCAGTCAGGATAGGGTTAGTTAGGACGGGCCGACGGCGGAGTGTGCCGCGCCCGCCGACCAGTAAATTATCTACATATAACTATGGCGTTAACAGCAGTTCGTTGACAAACCGCATGTGCATGCAAAACGCGAGTACCCCTCGCTATTGCCGGTCTTGTGCTTGCGTAACCCGATGTCGATAGTTAAGTGCCGTTCTGGGATCACATTCCGAATCTCCCCGGCCTGTTTTGAAGCGTGAAACTGTGCGTGGGTCACACTCGACACCAGCTGATAGGAGGCTGCGCTATCAGCTTACGGGCATCGACACCAGGCAAATAATCGTTCACCATTTAATACGCACGCGTGTGTCACGTACCCACTACCCATACAAGAGCACCCAGTGGCCGGGTAATGAGTGTGCTATTCAAAAGTCCTTTGATATTTACATGCCTGACATGTGCTTGCCTGCCCACATGACCACGGTACATCGGCATCCATCTTTTTGTTTCAGTACTAACTTATCAGTACTAAGAACTAACCAGTTATCTATCAGATATATTTTGCCTACCAGTACCATCTACCTGCATAGTGCATACCTACCTACCAACTTGCCCACCTGTCAGTGACATGTCTCTATGCTTGCCAAATAGGGCACCTCCCACACAACCACCTCCCCCCCCCCTCGTGACTGTAGAACGGGCCGTCGGATATAACAGCTTCCCCCCCCCCCCACCCCACACACAACTGCCCCCGCACGGTGCCGCGCTTCTCCGAGGGAGCCAGGGCAGTCCCCGACGGTTGTATTGGCACGGCCACAGAGACCGGCCCGGTGCGGCCAGGGCCGACAGAGACCCGGTGCGGCCAGGGCCGACCGTTCGCGGGAGCAGCCCGCCGACGGCAAACGACACCGCCAGCTCGGCACAAAGATGCACCGACCGCCGCAAAAACCGGGACACCACACAGAGGCAGCAGTGATTTGCTGCTGTCCGCAACTCGTCACAGATGGTCCCATACTGATGAATGTGAATATCGTGAGGACTGGGAAATGGTGGAATGCAATTTACGGAATGCATTACAGCTGGAGTGAACACTGATCGGTGACCAGTGTTCCAATTACTCCCGTAGTATGCATAGGCGGCGGAACGGGGAGGGCACCGGGGCACCGTGCCCCCCTTTTATTTTGGCATTTTAACATTAGCCCTATGGGCGTTGCATGGAAAGAATGGGACCAAAAGTCGGCAGTGCCCCCCCCCCCCTTAATTGAAGGTGTTCCGCCGCTACTGGTAGTATGGTTTTGCTATTTGCCCTTGAAGACAAACGCTATAAACATGCAAATTTATGTACATTTAGTACAACACACAATAAAGTTAGCTCAATAACCAAATACCGCAGCTAAAGAATAAATGCGGGTAGTCAACCAACCAGCGCTCTGCAGCCATCAACCGCGTGTCACAGCAACATGTTCAAAGCCAATAGAAAAGAAAACGATCTACGTATATGGCGTGTTATGCATCGAATCATCAAACGCGTTCTATTTACCTATAGCAATTATACGAGAAACGGATCATAAGAGAAACGGATAGCAAAGACGTGAGCCATTATTTACATATAGGGTGTTCACTAAAAATTGACACAGGCTTTGAATAACTGCACACCAAAAGCGAAGCAAGCTATTTCGATGCAACTTACCATAGAGATAAAAGGAACATTTCTAATCATATCGAGCATAAAATCTCACGGATATAATCAAAACAGTCGCGTAGGAGGTCGCTTTAAATAAGGACCACCGGAAGCCCATTGGCAGGCTTTCCCAAAATAGTGCGTCAATGGGAGAGTCTCGGACGTACAAATACCTAATGAAAACTTATAATGTCGAACTTAGTTACATACCGCAAGGTGGAAAGAAAGTTCTATGTGGGTGTGGGAGTCCGAAAAGCTGAAGTGGTGTTATTGTGAAGATATTGACCTGAGGAAAGGTCGGGGCCCCGAAAACGCACGTGGAGGGGCTTTTTGGCACCTCACGGCGCAATGCTGCTGATCAGTAAGGTATCAGCTGTACCAACACGAAGAAGGTATAACACACCTGAGGCTAGGCCGAGTAACAAACGGCGTAAATGATTTCTCGAAGCGACCGGGAACAGCATTAGGCAATAGACGTAAATATGCAATGGTCAAGAAAGGGCCAAAAAATTCAGAAAAAAAGTCGAACTATTTAAGGAAGAAAGGTTATGTTTTTAGTTAAAGGGCGACAATTAACTAGACAATGGAGTGTTCTGTAGTGATGTTATCGATGACACAAGAGCTAACGTCCATTTAAGTGTCAGTATGCAAGCTAACGCTGGATGCTATGGTGTATGTGTCTTTTCAAAGCATATCAACAATTCGACTTCATTCATCCAGGCTGGTCCTATATAATATGATATTTTCGGAGCCAAGTGTATTATTTAGTACTGGAAGTTCATGCAGAACAACATATGTAACCAGAAGGTAGTCTTCTGGTCCGACCTCGCGCCAGCACACTAACCAAGGGGCGCCTTGAGGACCCCGGCCGATGTAAAAATTCCACTTGGAACGAGGCCCAATAAGCCGTTTGCCATGCCTGAAATTTAAGAAATGAGTATTAAATGTGTTTTGCCGAAGCCTATAACGTATGTTAGTGTCTTTAAATTTCATAGAAAATATCAATTGGTTGTTCGTTACCGCCATGAACTGGCCAAATTCACGGCCCACTGGTGCCAGGGCACGTGAAAACACTTCCAAGCAAATGTCCAAAAAGAGACATATGGGGATCAGGCAAATTTGTTGACGCTCTATAGCTTGCAGCAGGTGCAATGCGCTTTACAATAATGCCTCGTTTGTTCAAATCGGTACAGTTTTACTGAAGATACAGTCCGCTAAACTTTGTCTCAATTTTTAGTGAACACATGTTATTTACCGTCGAGAAAGCATGAAAGCCTAATAAAATGTGATTACTGATTTGATAAATACCATTCGTCTCAGCTAAGCAGAAGTGCATGGTCGAAATTCATGGGCAGCAAATCCGTCCCGTGCATCAGGTGTCGAACGGGTTCGCCCTTTTCTCAAAAGGTCAGCGCCGTGCTCGCCCGAACGCGACCACCGTTAAATGCCACAGAACGTGTGACATACGAGTGAGCCTCCACCACAATCGCAAAAAAGGAAGGCTAGGGGAATCAAACATCGCAATTAGGAACGATCAGAGTGTACTACAAAAATACACGGTACGGAGGGAGCAGGTAGAGACTACGCAGCTGGTACAGCAGGATGCAGGAACACACCGGGGTGCAGTGGCGGATCCAGGGGGGGGGGCAAAATGGGCATTTGCCCCCCCCCCAAACGGCATAATTTTAACATTACGCCTATGGACGAGGCATGGAAAAAATCGATAAATTGTTATGGTTTGCCCCCCCCCCCAAAAAAACTGAGCTGGATCCGCCTCTGCCTGGGTGCGGACACGTGGCTGGTGCAGGAGGTACAGACTGGGAAACGGGCTGACGAAGGACTGGTTCATGGTTGGTGTGTCCATGCGGCCCGCGGCTCCCAGGGACCGGGCCCGTGGCTGGCGCTGCCGGTACTCACGAGACGCAGTCTTTGGGCGAGTCACGCCGAGAGGAGGCCAGCGAGCCGCGCGTGGACGTGGCGTTGCTCTCACGCTGCGCCTCCCGCAGCAGGCGCAGGTAGTCCTCGCTGCCCAGCGGCAGCGGGGTAGCGCGCCGAGGCGACGCCGTCTGGTACGTCAGATCCACCCAAGACTCTGCCAACAGCAGCACATAGTCACCTGAGGGCCTAATGGAAGTCGATGCAGGAAAGCCAGAAGAATTGACTGACATCATTGGAAATAATGCCCTTTGCAGTCTCAAACGTGTCAAAAAACATATGTTCTTGAAAACAAATATTTGTTTTAGCACCTTGGCTCTTCCAAGTTCTTGATCCTACATGATAAGTATGCATCCCAGTAGCCACTTATGATTCTGATTCACACCAGATTTTATTATCCAGGATCATGGGTTGCAGAATACGAATATCTGAACACTCATCAAGCAAATGTTCATGCCGTGGTTGGTTGTAATTTTCCAAGGTGTAAGATCATGCAACAAAGCACAGCTTACAAATTAAATGATTGTGCATAAATGATTAATTAAAATACCTAACTATGGGCTAAGCATGTGATGCTGTTTGAGTCAGCAGCACTAGATAAATTATGTGCACCTACTGATGTTATTTCTTAATGTTTTTATCTTTTATTCTTTAAGTCACAAGAGAGATGATGGAAGTATTCTAACTAACTCAAGATTCTAATTGTAATGTAGGTAATTAAAGTCAATCTTAAATCATGATGCAGTCACAATGCGTAATTGAAATGTTGCTTAATTGAAGGACAGAGCTTCTCGCTCGCACCTCACATTTATCAGGTCATGCAAAATCACGCAAATATATGACTAGGAAGATACTACTCACCTCCCAAAGCCTCCTCCGGGCTTTTTGGGGGAGTGGAGCTCATTGTTGACAATTTTTGTAGCCTGGCACACGGGCTGCAAGAGCGGAGTGCTCCTCAAACTTTATAAGAACGTAGAAAAAAATGAATGAGAGCCTATATTTCCAGGAAAATGTCCCCAGCAATCAAAGAGAACGTCGCCACTCTCTCCTATACCCCTAAAGACCCGCAGTCCGCAGTGCACCACCTTCCCCACGAGGACGGGCTCGGAGTGTGTGTGGCTTTGTTTTGGTTGTGCACTGCTCTGGCGCAGATATCAACAATCTGTGATGTCAGAGCAGGATCTTTTAAAACTTTAAATTTACTTTTCTTTTTAAAGTTCAAAAATATGTATTCTTTATTTCAGTCGACGTCACCACAACATAGTAATTCAATTGTATTTCAGTCAATTTCAATTATCAAACAGAGCTTCGTTAGTTTAAGCACTTTACGAATGTTCTTGAAAAAGTATACATTTCTAGCGCGTTTCTGCGCCATTACACAAAAATGTTTTTTGCTTGTGTTTGACGAGGTGTAGCGCGTTTGGTAAAATTCCTTGATATATCAGTTGGGCAAACTAGGCGGCGGGAATCAAAATATGGAGGCATCAAAATATTGATTCTAGTGGGCGGAGCTTTGACCATATATGGGCATACGTGCAGACCATCACAGAAACGTCAATTATTCAGCAACCGGCTATAATTTCAAAATAGTTTCTTCACAAAATGAAGAGCAACGTTGAAGCTACCCGCCAGGCACGAAACAATAGCCCTAACCTCTTTGGTTAGTTTAGGAAAGCGTCTTGAAAATAATCAAGATATTGATTCATCACGGCGGCTAATCCCGGCAAGAATCAATATTTTGATTCCGCAAACAGCTGGCTAATCATTATTTTGATTCTGAAATCAGCTGGTTTATCAATATATTGATTCTGCGAACTGACTTTCTGCAGACGTACTTCACCCTTTAAATTGATTTATGGGATGTTTCTTGTGTGCAAATAATGCAAATTCAATAAATTCATGAAGATATCAGCACAGGATCGTGTAATTTTTTTCTAGACCTTATTCCCACGGTAGACCAGGGATTTTCAGCTCTCACCCTGGCTCCCTGCTCAAAGCTGCAAGCCTTCGAGGGAATGCGTGAAGGGAGCCGTGCTGACCTTTGTATAGGGGTTGTACTGAGTCGGAGCCGGAACCGAAGCCCGACCATTTTACTCGGAGCCGGAGCCGGAGCTGGAGCCGATTTTTTCCTCCGGAGCCGAAGCCGTCTGACATTTTCACGGCTCCCTGCTTTGTAGCATTGATTTTGAGTAAAAAAAAAGTTAACTTATCGTCTTTCACGTGTTCATGAATGTGTTTCTACGCATCTGTATCCCGTCCCATTTCTGTGGAGTACAGTAGGAGATATTTCGCCGAACAATATACTCAAGCCCGTTGCACAAATTGCACAATTTGAATGAAAATATGATACACGGATGTATTTGCATTCGCAAATAATACGAGGATATTCATAACACATTTCACAACGATCCCTGCAATTGCCACATATTTGCCATCACAAAGCCCTGTCGTTGATGCTCACATCCCATGCAAAGCAATACTCACTTTTAGGACACGTCTCTTATTCAATATGGCTACGTATTTGCAAAACATGCAGTTAATAATATTTGAAACTGAGACCTAACCAATAAGACATACCGTAGACAGGTGAGAAAAAAAACAAATAAACGTCTGGAGAATGACCTCAACGTCTCGATGTTGCCTAATTACAAACAGCAATTTTCGGTTTCGAATCAAATACATGAAATAAATATAAACAAAATTTGTACAGATACACTCAATATAGGGTTTATGATTAGCACGGCTACCTAAAACATCAATCCTGTCAGGTTGAGCCACTTATGTCCACACCCAAAGCAGGTCGCTTTGGAACACCACAAGATCCCATATTACCACCGAAAACGGTCACCAATTGGTCTACTGATCAGCATCTTCAGAACATTCTCGACCGAAAAGCTATCAGTCCTGTCTGTGTTTTGGTTCGCTTCATCTGGGCTATGCGCACGTTTTTCTACTCCGGTTCTAGGGACGAGATAGCAGTCATCACGCGCTGCACCAGCTCGGTCTTTGACAGGTTGGTGACGCTGTCGTCATCCGGCAGGATAAACACGTGGCGCATTTCACCCTCGGCCCCGCCAGCCACATACACACTTCCTTACGTCATATTGTTTCTCGCCACGAGATCAAAGTTCAAAAGGTCGTGATGTAGGTAGTCTCCGCCCAGCCCGAGTCAGGTACTCCGCCGGTTGGTCGGGTGCGGCCAGGTCCGCGCAACGCCGCCCTACTTCGGTCGACGCTCTGGTTGACAGGGATGGCGTTGTCATACAGTTGCCTGTCGACTGAACAGCGATTCAAGACGCCATCCTTGGCCCTCTGAAGCCGATCCCCGCAACGACCAGTGTTTGATCCTTGGTTGACCTGCAGCAAACAACAGAACACAATAATTAGGACATTTGTGGACAATAAATTAGGAAACTATATGTGTTATTATTCCCCTTGTTCAGCAACTATTAATTTTAGAATGTATTTAATAAAAAATTAAATACTTAATGTCACTTAAATTTCCACTGAACGCCACCAGGTGCGCCAACAACTGTCATCTCATGCAATTATATAAATTCTGCCAAAAAAGTAGATCTGAGGCCAGTTGTACCAACAGAAAAATAGGTGGCTGCTGGATTTTTTTTTTGTCTAAAAGTTACTTTAGATACAGAGCATGAACGGTACAGCCCTATCCTTTTACGTGCCCATCATGTTAACGCTCCATATGTGAAGCAGTCTTTAGGCAAAAAATTCCAGCAGGCAGCTATTTGTGTTCATAAAACTGGCCTCTAAAATTAACTTTGGCATGGACAATCCTGAAAATTAACTATCCAGCATTCCCTGGACTGCCGTACATTAGACACATAATTTTCTTGAAGATCACGCATAATGTAAATATGGCTTACACCATTCAGCAACTTGCTTTTGTTACACTTAAAGTAAGCATCATTAAATATGTAGCAAAAATCGGCGAAGCAATTACAAGCCAAGCATACATACCTACTATTTAGATAAGGCAAACACGAACATGCACTACGACCTTTCAATCTTAACTCGGAAGAAGTCAATAACCTAATTGCCATTAAAAATTTAAATGCTACAAATTAAAGTTGTAGCAACAATTGGGTGAGTGAGACACAAGCAGAGGCTAAAACATCCAAATTATGTAAAATACTGGACATGCACTGCCCCCATTTCATGAGTCCACCCAACAATTCTATCATGTGAGACAAAACATTAGGCTTCTTGTAACTAATTTATACCCTAACTTTTAAAGGACATCATATTTCACTGAAATACTACACCTAAGACATCATTTTCAAAAAAATATAGCTTAAAAAGACAATAGAAGAGTGAGAAGGCGTCCCGCGCCGCTGACGTCGCTACCGCGCCATGTTCCTAAAACCATCTCTTAAAACGAGTTTTCGGTAAGAAACGTTAAGATCACATGCCTGAAATTGAAAAACACACTTCAAAGTATCTTAAAATATGATCCATTGTTACTTACACTTCAGAAAAGGTCGCTTAGACAAAATAAAACCGGGAGCACTACGTTGCATCCACACACCCACGACGCCGGCGCGAAATGGCGGGAACCGGAAATCGTGGCTAGATACAAAGAAAAAGAATATTTCTTATAAATGAATTATACAACTAAATAACGCATTTTTTATTTTCTTTTTGACAAAATTATGAAAAAATTACAAAGGCTCGTCGTTAATGATAAACAGAGCAAGTTTTAACAGCACGTTTTTGTTGAATTATGGCGGCGAAATCTTTATGCCATTCGTAAAGGTACGCGCGACAAACGGCTGATAGCCATGCAGCGAAAAATTGAAGCGGGGAAGTTTTTTGTTTTGACTTGTCAAAAAATCTCGCCGTCATGGGGGTTATTTCCGCCGTAACGGGTCGTCTGAAGGTGGGAATGTCCCAAATTGAATCAAAATATTGATTCTATGCCCATATATGGTCAAAGCTCCGCCCACTAGAATCAATATTTTGATGCCTCCATATTTTGATTCCCGCCGCCTAGTTTGCCCAACTGATATGTGGTGATTACTGCCGTGAATTTTTGCGTTTAGACAGAATTGTCTCCACAAGATATCAAATTTGATGGATTTAAGTTCATTTGTGCATAGATGGCTTTGCGGTAGTTAATTTGGATAGGGCAATTTGCATCACCTCAAATGTGGGTGTGATTTTGAATTAAAGGTAAGCAACTTTAATTATTAATTTTTAAACACCTTAGATTTAAAGTGTAGGTACTTACCTTATAGTAAGTAGTGGCAGCAAGGTGGACATTTGGTCTATGGCTAGTTTCCAGTGTCTAGCTCATTGTCTTTTGCTTTTTCAATTTGGGACGACGGTGAAAACAGCCAGACTGCAAAGTATGGCACGCAGGTCGACGAGGCGCACCGGCCCAAGTTCAAAATCCGCACCAACCCTTCAAACTGAGCCGGAAAATCCGCACCTAAGCGAGCCGAGAGCCCAAAATATCCGCACCGAACCCACAGGCAATTATAATGCAAGGGACTTCATTCATCTCACTATAATTATTTCCCCTCCAATTTCAGTTTCACGAGCAACGCTCACCACGGGACCGCGCCGCGCACTTGTATCGGAAGTTTGAAATATAGCAAATAGACGGACGCCGGTGACAAAAGGGCGCCGGAGGGCATATTGGGTCACGTGACATTCGGAACTTCTCCCCTCTCTGTGGGCCTTCTACATGCTAAATGTCACGTGTGAATTTGACGAGCCTTGATAAAATCGCCCCAACAAACTTTCGTATGAGTAAAACTAATGACGTCATTCCAAAGTAGCGTGCTGATTGGCAATTCAAACCAGCTGCTCGCAAATGTGACATATCAGTCACCACCGCAACCAGTCTTCGTTCTAATGACGCCGTCATCACGTTAATTTCCGAGGCGAGAATGGATTTGTTCTGCCGCAATTGTTAGTTCGTAGAGTAAATTTAAAACCTTTCTCCGTCACCGTGCGTCACCGTGGCTGGCACGCATTTGTAGGGCTTTCCAAAGAACAGTCAACAAGGAAACCCGACCGGGTAAGAAGACCAAGCGAAGTCCGCACCGCATCAAGGTCCAAGCCAAATCCGCACCGCACCAGGCAAAATCCGCACCGCACCACTCCAAAATCCGCACCAGCCGAACAAGCCCGCACCGACGAGATCTCGTCGAAATTGCCATACTTTGCAGTCTGGGAAAACAGGACGCCTGGGGCGATTTGATCAAGGTTCGTTAAATTTACACGTGACGTTTGGCATATAGAAGGCCCATAGAGCGGGAGAAGTTCCAAATGTCACGTGACTAATATGCTCTCCGGCGCTCTGTTTTCACCGGCGTCCTCAATTTGCAGTGCACGTAAGACAGTATTGGTAAAGCTGGCGTCACTGTCGGCGGTAGGTAGGTAGGTTAGGTTGTAGGCTGGTAGGTTTTAGGTGTGTAGGCTGGTGCAGGTTGTAGGTTAGTAGGTAAGGTTAGTTCAGGCTAGATTATGTTTTTTACTCATTTCATCTACACATTTACTGGTTAGTCGTGATGGTGATGCCAGCTTTATCAATACCTAAATACCTACCTACTATTGTTGGTGGCAGCTTTCATCCACCCTGAATGGGGCCACCAGTGTATGCATGCAGTGTTTCATCTTACTTTTGCTGATTGGCTGTCAGTCACTTCAGCTTATGAATATGATCTAAAGCATTGACTTCCTATTTTGCAGTGAATGAGGAAAAACTATACAACCATTGATGCTTGCTGCTTTATTTGGCCCAGACTGCAACAGTCATTTATGGAATGCAATTCTGAGTATCAATAGGTACCAACTCTACTCTTTCCCTGGAATTATGCATGGTTATTTTTAGTTTCCATGATATTATTGGTTTAGCTTGATTTTACATCAGAACAGAAAAGGTTCAGACTTATCATTTAACTGTAGATGAAAATTAAGAACTAGGTTTGTCTTGTTTTCTTTTTCATTAAAGTATATATTTTGTGCTTGTTTCAGATAAGTGATTGTTGATATTGCCACATCTTCCTTTGATCCTATAGGTACTTTATTATGTTTAAGAGAGGATAAGAAATGAATTTCTTTCCTTAGCTTACAGTAGCAGAATAGCATAAGCAGATATTCAATAAGGCTTTATATTTTGAGCATGCTGCTCATCAATAATTTTTATCATCAATTTCAGCAATGTGCAGTTGGTCTCAGGGTAGTGACTGTTTGAGTTGATAAACAACTAAATATTTTTATATCTGCCTTGTCTAAATGAGATAGGGGTCTATGTAGCAAATAAGGTTGTGATGAAAGCTAACCTAATATGTATGTATGTATGTAATATAATATGTAACCTAATAATAATGGTCTATGATTTGGACACCCTACAATGTAGGTACCAATGTTTGGCATCAGTGCTATCTTTCAAAGCGAAGTATTTTGTTGCTTTGAAATTTTTGTATAGGTGATGCAGGGGTCTAGTCAATTTGTATTTTAGATCACAATGAAGCTTTAGTACACTCTTTAGTGCCCTGAGTAGAACAATACTTATAAGGCTGTAATTGCATTTTATATGATCTGCTTGGTACTGAAAACGAATTGGTAGGCATTGCAAATTGTTTTGTCCTTGGCCATCTCCTTATGCTTTGTTTCCTGAGAACAAAGTAGCAAGTGGTAGCTGGTGGGATGCAAGAGGAAATTCTGTGTGAGACTTAATGTTTATTTGTGTCTTTAAAGTTAATGATTTAATGTTTATTTTCCTTTTCCCAGTTACTCACACCCTGCTCACTTGTAGCTGATATTCCATCATGACTTTGTTTTGTTGACTGTTGATCCCTTTGCAGTTGATCTTAACATTTCCTTTCTAGTGAGTGTAATCATTGGGAATAGTGCCATGATGCTTATGTGCTTTAACATCATTAATTTTGTAGGTAGGTAGATACTAGATATTACATTAATTTTAACAAAACCTATATTTTCAATATTTCAAAGCAGATACTAAACCATGTATTTAACAATGTTATGACTCATTTTTAGTCATTGAACTTCCTAGATTTTCAACAGTGTTGTGCAGGTCACTGAGTCGTATTTTCACGCCTGTTCTCAGGATGGACTCGTCCGGTCAGCCTCGCGTCATCTCGCGTGACGAGGCTCTGCGGATCTTGCGAGAGCAGCAGCGGAAGCCGGCGGCGCCGGCGCCGGCCCCGGTTGCCACGCCGGCGGCGGCCGCCAGCCTGCCGTCGTGGCTGCGCGCGGCCGTCAGTGCCACTCCGCCGCCACCGGCCGCGCCCGCCGTCCGGCTGCCTCCCGGCGTCAGCGCCGTGCCACACCCGGCGCCGCGGCAGCGCCAGCCGCCCCTGCAGACCGCTCAGCAGCAGCGGCTCCTGCAACAGCAGCATCAGCAGCGGCTTCTCCAGCAGCAGCAGCAACAGCGGCTCCAGCAGCAGCGACTGCAGCAGCAACATCAGCAGCGCATGCAACAGCAGCAACAGCAACATCTGCAGAATCAGCAGCGGTTGATTCAGCAGATCAAGCAGAAAGAGCAGCAACGACTCCAGCAAAGACAGCAGCCGCGCCAGCAGCAGCAGCAGTACCAGTATCCCGACCGCGCCTACGCCAGGGGACGGTCCGTCGATGGTGGATACCATGGCGGTCAGGCTGCTGCGAACGCCCCCTCTGAGCAGCCGGCGCAGCTCACCCTGCAGCAGGCGATGGCGCTGTGCCGGAAGCAGGCGGCCGCCGCCCCCGCCCCCGCTCCCGCCCCCGCCGCCGCCTCTGAAGCGGTCGGCGTCGGCTGGATGGGTGGCTCGACGGAGGACGACGAGCCGCTGGACGCGGAGCCCGTACTGGAGGCAGTCAGCTCGCCGGTGCCCGTCGAGGAGCCCGTGCACGAACAGTACTCGGACGAGGAGCTAGGGGAGGAGGAGGAGCATTATTCTGACGAGGATGAAGGCAGCTACCAGGAGCATGAAGAGACGGAGCCTGAAACGAACCGGCAGAGGTCCGATACTGAACCAGCGCCGGCGCAGAAACCGTCACCGGCGCCGGCGGAGACTCCAGCTCTGCCGGCCGGGCTGAAACTGCCGCCTGGTGTGAATCTGACCCGGAGCGACCCCCCGCCGGCCGCGACACCGCCAGCACCAGTCGCTGCACCAGCACCAAAGGCACCAGCGGCGCCGGCTGCACCCGTCCAGACTTCGGTGCCCCCACCGACGGCCCCGCAGCCGCCGGAACAGCAACAGAACGGCGGTGGCGTGGACCAGCACTACGACGAACTCGGGGAGGAAGAAGAAGACTACGAGATGGGTGACGAGGGGGATCAGCTGGGCAGCGAGGAACAGGACGAGGCTGATGACTGGCACTACCCTGAGGATGAGGAGGAGCAGACGGACCCGTCGCCGGAGCCGCAGCAGCAGCCGCGCTCGGTCCCCCCTCCGGCGCCGGCGCCTGTCCCGGCACCGTCCGACGAGCCGCGCAGTCTCACCCTGCAGGAGGCGATGGCGCTCTGCCGCCGACAGGCAGCGGGTGCGGAGCCTGCCGAGCCGCCACCCCCTCCTCCGGCGCCACCCCCGCCCCCGCCGCCGCCCCCGCCACCTCCTCAGCCGGCGCCGGCGCGCCGACCCGGTCCGGCGTCTGCCCGACCGATGCCGGCCTCCGTGCGTCAGGCGCGCCAAGCTGCGGCTGCGGCGGCAGCGGCCGCAGCAGCTGCAGCTGCACAGACCGCGTCTCCAGCCGCCGCCGTGTCCGCCCCGCAGAGTCCCGTGACTCCCGCACCGGAGGTGCGGACGCAGGCGGCGACTGAGCCCTCGTCTCCGGCAGACAAACAGGTGTCCGCACCAGAGACCCGTCTGCCGCCGCCGCCGGAACCCGCGCCGGCCCCTACCGAGGCGCCGCCGGCCGCCGTCGACAAGGGACGGGAGAGAGAAGCGGAGGCGCGGGAACAGGAGAGGATGGATGAGGAGGAGGAGGACGCTTTGCTGCGAGAGGACGAGGAGGACGCGCTGTTGCGGGACGATGAGGACGAGTGGGAGCCGTCGGAAGGTGACCTCGATGACGAGGATCTGGACGAGTATGGCGCTGGGGCGTGGCGGGGCGGAGAGGGTGCCGGAGCCTCACCCCAGCCGGCCCAGCCGCCTGTGCCGCAGGTGACACTGCCGCGTGGCATCCGTGCGGTGCCGGTGCCGCCTGAGCCCAGCGCGGCGCTGGCGCGACTGCCGCCCGGAATCCGAGCCGTGGCGGTGCCGGACGAGCCCCGGTGGGCGGCGCCGGCGCCAGCCCCGATACCGCCGGCGCCGCAGAGACAGCCGCACCAGCAGAGACAACCACAGCTGCAGGAGAGACAGATGCCGCAGCAGAGACAGCTACAGCAGGAGAAACAGATACCGCAGCAGAGACCACCTCCGCAGCAACAGCAGCAGAGACAGCAGCCTCAGCAGCAGCAGCAGCAGTCTCAGCAACAGCAACAGCAGAGACAGCAACCTCAGCAACATCAACAGCAGAGACCACCTCCGCAGCAACAGCAGCAGAGACAGCAGCCTCACCACCAGCAGCAGCAGCAGCAGAGACAGCAGCCTCAGCAGCAGAGGCCACCTCTTGAACAGCAGAGACCGCCTGCGCCGCCGCCGCAGCGTCCGACGCCGCGCGATCTGGGCATCCGACTGCCGCCGGGTATCGCCGCTGTGCCCGTGGGCCAGTCGTACCCAGAGCCGCCGCCCGCCGCGGACACGACTCCTAAGAGCGCCGCCCCGCCGGCAGCGGAGCCGGAACCGCGTCACCTGACTCTGCAGGAGGCCATGGCCATGTACCGCCGGCAGTCGCAGGCGGCCGCGGAGCCGGAGCCGGAGCCGGAGCCGCCAGCTCCCGCGGAGCGGAGCGACGAGTCCCGAGAGGACTCTGTGCTCGAGGACGACTCGCTGCTGGACGACTCGCATCTGGCCGAGGGTGAGGCTCGGTTCAATGAGGACGAGTACGACGATGACCTTGATCAGGAGGACTTTGATGAGGACGAAGAGCTGATGAAGAACGGTGGGTGGCATGACGATGAAGCCTCGCCTCAGTACCAGGACGAGGCGCAGCCGGAGGATGTTGGTGCAATCCCCGAACAGGATCATGCAGATGAGCCTGAAGAACAAATGTTGACGGCTGAGCCCGACGGGGAGCCAGAAGGTGACGATGAATCGCATCTACAAGACGAGTCACATGTAGAAGGCGAAAGTGAACATCCAGAAGAGGGCACTTCACATCTACAGGGGGACGCTTCACATCTAGAGGAGGACACTTCACATCTAGATGAGGGCGCTTCACATCTAGAGGAGGACACTTCACATCTAGATGAGGGCGCTTCGCATTTAGAGGAGGGCGCTTCACATCTAGAGGAGGGCGCTTCACATGTAGAGGAGGATGATGCACGCCTAGAGCAGGAAAAGGCGCGTCTCGTTGGGGAGGAAGAAGCGATGGAGGAAGGGGAGTCGTGGCCGGCTGAAGATGGGGCGCGATACGACGAAGGCGAGTCGCGTGCCGAGGGAGATGGGCAGCAGCTTGATGACGAGCAAGCACTAATGGAGGAAGGGTATGAAGCAGAGAAAACAGATGAAGGTGATGAATATTCAGGTCAATATGGGGATGAAGCACTGCCGGAAGAACCCACTCATGACAACATGGCCGGTTCACTGCCTGAGCAGACCGGGCCGGCGGACGCTGGAAACGCGACTGCCGCTAGCTTTGACGCAGAAACTGGCGAACATTTGCAGCACCCTCCAGAGCCGACCGCTGCGGCGCCGGTCGACGGTGAGACGGCCGCCGCCCCTGCTGGTGACCAGGATACCGTTCCGAGTCCTCCCCAGCCGGCGGAGGAGGCTGCACAGTTCCAACCACCCGATGGGAGTAGCGAGGCCCAGTCTCCAGCTGCAGGTCCAACTCACGCCGATGGCACGCCTGAGCAGCCCAGCAATGAGCAGGAGGCCCCAGAAGTGCCGAGCGGCGCTGGTGATAGCCGTGATCTCGGGGACCTCTCGGCCTCGGAGGAGCCGCGCTCCGCGCCGCCGTCGGTGCCGCCTCCGGGGCCGGACGCTGCGGCCGACTCCGGCCAGCAGCAGCAGCTGGCGGACGACTCGATCTCGGATCTGATCAGCGGCGCCGTGCTCGGTCCGGAGCTGATGCAGGCCGAGGTGGACGGCACCGCCGAGGACCTGTCCGAGGTCAAGGACATGCTGAGCATGCTGGAGGAGAAGCCGGACCTGCTGGACGCCGGCGGCGGCGGGGACGCCGAGCCGGACGAGGGCGCTGAGGACGAGGAGCCGGCCTCGTCGGAGGCGGACGGCAGCGGCTCCGAGTCCGACCGGCGCGACGGCGGCGACGGCAGCGAGGCCGGCAGCGCGGAGTCGGACGCCGCCGGCGACGGCGCGCGAGAGAGCCCCAAGCCCAAGCGGCGCAAGAAGAAGAAGGGTCGTAAACGGAAGAAGAAGCGTGGCGACGGTGACTCTAAGGACGACGACGAGAACGGGCCGCTGAACAAACGGCGCAACATCCGCCAGATCATGACGGAAGAGGAGCTGGACGCGGAGACGCTGCGCGCACAGGAGGAGGAGAAGGAGCGCCAGCTGCGTCTCGCCGAACAGAAAAAGTGGTACGAGCAGTTCAAGCGCGAGCAGGAGCGTGTGGAGCGAGAGAAGGAGCAGGAGCGGCTGGAGCGCGAGGCGGCCGAGGCGGAGCGCAAGGCCAAGGAGGCCGCCGACGTGATCGTGCTCTCCAGCGACGAGGAGAAGGAGGAAAAGGAGGAAAAGCCCGAGGTTAAAAAGGAGGTTAAGAAAGGTGAGCTCTTCAACGCATCATATGCTTATTTTGCAACAGTCGTACTTGCTTTCGTTGTATTGACTATCGTTATTTTATATGACACAAGTTAACAGATTCGAGTGCTCCCTATTTCACCATTTGTCTCATATCATTTACATTTTACCGGAAATTATGTTGCTTTCCCTTTATAGCTGGTGTTCATCAAGAAGTTTGATTCCTTCCCAGCCTGGTGACCTTGCTTGCCTGATAGCCTGCCGCAGCTGACCATTTCCGTTTCCCCTGTGGCAGAGCCGGCGGCCGAGACGAGTGACGACGACATCCAGCTGCTGAGCTCGGGCGAGGAGGAGAAGGAGGACGGACACGCCGAGGACACCAACAACTCGGGCTCGCACACGGACGACACGTGCAACGTGCCCGACTCGCTGGGCCGCGTGCTGGTCAACGTGGGCCACCCGCCGGCCGAGATGGACATCTTCATTGCGCCGCAGATCGCCAGGAACATCAAACCGCACCAGGTGGGCGACGCGGCGGGCGGGGCGGGCCGCAACCGAAGGAGTGGGAGGATGCTCATTACTCGTGTACGATTTTTTTATCGTTGTTGACTGACTTCGGCTACTGATAGTCAGGCGTTGACACGGCAGTGATGTAATTGTCTCCGTGTTGCAGATTGGCGGCGTCCGGTTCCTGTACGACAATCTGATCGAGTCGCAGGAGCGCTGCAAGACCACGCCCGGCTTCGGCTGTATCCTGGCGCACTCGATGGGCCTGGGGAAGACGATGCAGACAGTGACGTTTACGGACATCTTCCTGCGGCACACGGGTCACCGCACGGTGCTCATCATCGTACCCATCAACACTATCCAGAACTGGCTGAACGAGTTCAACTTCTGGCTGCCGGACGCCAACACGTACACGCCGCTGGCGCAGGGCGGCGAGGTTCGGCCCAGACACTTCGCGGTCAGCATGCTCAACGACTCGCACCGCACGCTGCAGGCGCGCGCCAAGGTGATCGCCGACTGGTACCGCGACGGCGGCGTGCTCCTCATCGGCTACGAGCTCTACCGGCTGCTCAACATCAGCTCGTCGCGCGCGGCCCGCAAGAAGAAGCGCAAGGACGGCTCAGACGACCTGGAGGCCGAGGCCCGGGAGAAGCAGCTGCTGGAGGGCATCAAGACGGCCATCACCCGGCCCGGACCCGACCTGGTCATCTGCGACGAGGGCCACCGCATCAAGAACGCCGGCGCCAGCATCTCGCAGGCGCTGAAGAGTATCCGGACGCGGCGGCGGCTGGCGCTCACCGGCTACCCGCTGCAGAATTGTCTGGTCGAGTACTGGTGCATGGTCGACTTTGTGCGGCCCAACTTCCTCGGCACCAAGGCCGAGTTCAACAACATGTTCGAGCGGCCCATCTCGAACGGCCAGTGCGTGGACTCGACGCCTTCGGACGTGCGCCTGATGCGGTTCCGCTCTCACGTGCTGCACTCGCTGCTGGAGGGCCTGGTGCAGCGGCGAAGCCACGCCATCCTGCAGGCCACGCTGCCCAAGAAGGAGGAGTACGTGTGTCTGCTGCGGATGACCCAGCTGCAGCGGGCGCTCTACCAGCGCTACATGCTCGACCTGACCTCGCGCAGCGGACAATCACCCAACCCCCTGCGGGCCTTCGTCGTCAGCTGCAAGGTAACGGCCGCGCGCGTCTAGCGCTTTTTTTAATCGTATTTACCTTTTAGGCTAGCTAATGCTATCTGTTCTTTAGAGGGATCGATGTTTGATCTCTGTTGTTATATTTGGGCTAAATGAACATGTAATTCTACTCTCGCATTGGTTATCGATGTTTGAGATAAATGAAAGGTTACCAATGTTGGCCCTCATCGAAGAGACTTCCGCGTATTTTCGCTGTTTCATTCCATTGCTTTTATCTGCGTGACAGATCTGGAACCACCCGGACATCCTGTACAACCTGCTGCGGAAGAAGATGGCGGACGAGGACCTGGACCTGGACGAGACCAACGACAGCGCCAGCAATGGCACGGCCAGCCGTCCGCGCCGGCCGCCGCAGGCGCCCGGCGGTCCCGCTGCTGCTGGTGGGCCGGGCGGTGTGCCGGGCGGACCAGGCGGGCCAGCTGGCGGCGGGCCGGGCGGAGCCCCTGGCGGATACACCGCCGGGCCGCCCGGCGGACCTCCCGCTGGCGGTTTTCCTGGCGGACCCGGTGGTTTTGCTGGGCCTGGTGGACCGAGTGGATTTGGTGGATATCCTGGTGCACCGGGCGGACATCCTGGTGCGCCGGGCGGACATCCTGGTGGATTTGGTGGACCCGGAGGATTCCCCGGTGGACCAGCTGGATCTGGAGGATATCCCGGTGGACCAGCTGGACCTGGAGGATATCCAGGTGGACCTTCACCTGGACCTGGTGGATATAACACCGGACCTGGCGGGTCTGGTGGTCCTAGCGGATATAGTGCTGGACCGGGCGCGCCGGGCGGACCCTCCAGTGGGTCTAGTGGTCCCTCTGGGTATAATACCGGACCTGGCGGACCCTCCGGTGGACCGGGTCCTAGTGGATACAACGCTGGACCGGGTGGACCGGCCGCTCCTGGTGGAGGTGGCGGACCTTCCAGTGGACCCGGTGGGCCTCCCGGAGCCGCTGGAACGACGGGAAACATGCAGACGCCGCCCGACGCCAGTCCGCTGGAGAAACCCAAAGACGACGGATTCATCAACTACGACTGGGTGAGTTGTGGGGCGGAGATGGGGCGATGACGGCTAACTGAGGTGTGGATGGGGTGCGCTAAGATGCCACGTAGGGTAGGAAACAGGAACCCGGATGCGGAATGGTTCGTGACGTGCTGAATGAAGGAACGGAAGTGTTTGGCATATGGTTCATAATCAGTTATCCATAGTCGCATTGACATATCTGATACCAATTCAAAATGGCACGCTGTTTCGTTTTGTTCACGGATTACGATGCCCAAGTCTTCTGCCCAAGTCGCATACCTAATGTTTATTCTGTTGAGTTGGCAAGATATAAGAGGAAAATATTCCGTTGCTCGTCATTGAAGTGCATCCTTATTTGTGTTTCGGAGTACCGGACTTATCGTCTGCAGCGTTGTGTGCGCTATCAGGCGGTCCTGCCCCCGAGAGGTCAGGTGACGCCCGCGCCGCTTCCGTCGGTGACTCAGCGGTGTGATAGGAGTGTGATGTGTTTCCTGCGGCACTAACCCCGTCCCCGGCTATCGACAGGCCCAGGACATGATGCAGAACTACATCCCCGGACAGCTGGAGAACTCCACCAAGATGATGGTGTTCAAGGTGCTGCTCGAGGAGACGGTCAAGCTGGGCGACAAGATGCTGCTCTTCAGCCAGTCGCTGTTTACGCTCAACATCATCGAGGAGTTTCTGCAGCAGACGGTGGTCCCGGGCCGCAGCGAGAAGTGGATGCTCAACCAGTCCTACTACCGACTGGACGGCTCCACCACCGGACTCGAGCGCGAGAAACTTATCAGCGAGTTCAACGCCAGCCCGGCCGTGCCGCTGTTCCTGGTCTCGACGCGCGCCGGCAGCTTAGGCGTCAACCTGGTGGGCGCCAACCGCGTGCTGGTGTTCGACGCCTCGTGGAACCCGTGCCACGACACGCAGGCCGTGTGCCGCGTCTACCGGTTCGGCCAGCAGAAGCGCTGCTACATCTACCGGCTGGTGACCGACAACTGTCTGGAGCGCAGGATCTACGACCGCCAGCTCAAGAAACAGTCCATGTCGAACCGCATCGTAGACGAGACCAACCCGGACAACATGGTGACCACGCAGAGCCTGAACCGGCTGCTGGACCCGACCGAGGACGACCCGCCGCCGGCCACCGTGGCGCCCGACCCGGACAAGTTCTCCGACCCCGTGCTGCTCACCGTGCTCGACAAGCTGGGACACCTCTTCTCGCAGGTCGGTCGCCGCCGGGTGGACACATCACAGTGTCAGCGGTGGCGGGCGGGCAAGATGTTTATTGCGCGTTGAATCGAGCGCCAAGTGTTTTCTTTCGTATTACTCTACTGAAACATGGTATCGTGTTCTGATTCGTTTTATATTTACGTTGGTGGCTGTGGTGATACTGTCATATTTTGCTATGATCCATACCATGTATAGATCTGAAACTCGTCTGGACCCGGACTTTACCCACCGCTCCCTCACCCAGGAGCCGTTCGAGCACGACGCCCAGCTGGTGGACCGACAGGACAAGCGGCTGACCCAGGCTGAGAAGAGGCTGGCCAAGCGCAGCTACGAGCTGGAGAAGAAGGCTGCCAACACTGGCGGCCGGCCCAACTACCAGGGCTTCTACCAGCGTGGCCAGCCGGGCGCCTACAGGTCGGTGCAGCAATGTTGGAAATGAGACCCTTTGCTGGTCCAAGTCGAGTCTCCAAGATTTTGTTCTCCTTTACAAAATTATACACCAGCACTTGAAATCTTCCAAATTTTCCACCATATGTGATGAAAAACTGCTATTATCACACACAAAATATACAGTAATAGCATGGATGATATAACACTGGATTGGTGTCTCGTGGAAATTAACATTGGGATCCGCGACATTGGGATCAGGTCTGCCATCTAGCGAGAGAATTATCGTAAGTTAGGAGCAAGCCGAGTGAACGCCATCTCTCAGCATTATGACACACGTGCGTGTGGTGTGTTAGTTGGCTTGAAGTGCATATTTCCACGAGTTGGAGGTAATTTTACTGGACCTGAGACGCCAAAAAACGTCTTAAATGCTTGAAAGCCAAAAATGTCAAGCAGCCTTTAGGTAATAACGGAAATAAAATGCGTAAGACGGTGTGTATTGAAACGCCCAGTCACATCGGCTTGTACGACCTTTTATATGGTCATTTACTCACAATGGTACAGCAGTTTGACAATATGTCACTTACATATTTGGTAGGTTCATTCCTTCTTCTCCGAATTACGCCCGATTTTCTTCATCTTAGTTAATGTTACGGCACGTGTCACGTGCCAACTTAGGGGTGTCGAAATTGTTCCACATAAAGTAACTCCGCAATGGCTGGGCCCATTACAGTAAAACTTCGTAAATAGTTAGGCACCCAGTGGCCAATGCATTTCCATGTGTCACTATGGGGGTGCTACTGCACGTGCGCACGTGCGGGGTGCTGCTTCCATATCTCAAGAACGGCTGGGCGGATAACACTCAAACTTGATACACAAATGTCACATCGATGCTCGCACTGCATTGATCAGTGCTTACATTGGTGCAGAGTCATTAGGAAAACGATGAAATGAGATGCGTGGTGTTTATGCCTTTCTTTTCCAGCAGCTGATTGATCCGCAACAGGAGATCCCTGTTTGTGAAGGCTTCGTCTCCCTTTTCCATTCCTTGTTTAAAATAACATTAACAATGTACGAAGAAGATCACACATAAAAGTTGTTTTAGGCGGCTATCTTGGGCCAGGGATGCGAAGTTGTAGTCAGAGCCAGCGGTTCTGTTCCGACTCAGAGTCGGTTGATTTTTAAAAGCTGTAGCCCGAGTATGAGTCGAACGTCACCGAAAAGTCATCGACTCCACAGACTTACCAGGGCTGCAGGCGTAGTCAGAGTCGGAGTCTGTGTGAATCGACAGTTCTGCCCGGAGGAGTCGGAGTCGATATTTGAATACCGGAATCGGAGTTGCCAAAGTTACTGAAATTTCACCGACTACGCAGCACTGGTTGGGTCTTTTTCATAGAGCGCCTTGAATGAGATATTGAGCGGCAATGACGTTAGCAATTCCGTTTAACTTTTTCATTAGACTTATAGATAGTACTTACGTTCGTTTTGTTCTTTGATCGGACAATTTGTTTGATTTAGGCCAAGTAAAGACTCATGTGAAAAATAGCGAAAACGACACGTGCTGGCGAAGTCTCCAATCTACTATACTATTTGTGAAATGAAACTCTGTCTTTCTGTTTGCACCGTGCAGAGGGGTGCTTTGACGCCGTGCACAGGTCAAACGGTGCGGTCGAGGGGGCTGAAATTTGCACACGGTGTTGATGACGTCACGCGCACGTGCAGTGGCGTGTTTCGAGTGTCGGGGGTGGATGGGTCGCACGTGGCACGCCCTGGAAAAAGGCGCATTTTCTCCAAATTTTGTTCGGCTCTCAAGCTTGCTTCCAGGCATCGGCAGCCGGGTTCAATCGCCTTTGACAATAAAATGCATGACGATCGGCGGCGGGTGCCAGGGCCTATTTTAAGACAATTGGACTGGGGTGGCCAGGCAGTGGTGGCGCCCCTGCCTCTTGTGTGGGCGCCCCCCCAAAAAAATTTCAACTTTGCTTCCAACCAACTTCACCAATCACCCCATTGTTGCTTGTAGATAAATATAAATAATTCGCCACGCCACTGCCCCGAGACGCTCTCCAGATTTTGAATCGCTTATGGCTCTGTACCTTATGCCAAGAAAGATGCATCGGTAACCAGTGTTGTAGCTAGTTCATAGGCGGCGGAACGGGGGGAGGGCACCTGGGCACCGTTCCCTCTTTGATTTTGGCATTAACCCGCGCCGGGACGGTGCTCCGCCACTTCCACGCCGGGCAAGGGGGTGTCTGAACACCCCCCCCCCTCCTTCTAACTCGGCTCTTGGGCCACGTAGCGACACGTGGTAAGCGGCATTCGAAAGAACGTTCAAAATAAGGACGAAAACACTTCGGTCATGTTTTGGGTCAGGTCAAAGGTCAGGTCACCAGAGGTCATCGAAGATAAAATGTTGGCTATTTCAACATTTTGGAAACTGCCAACGGGAACCGTTGGCAGTTAAAGCACTCGGGAACCGCAAGAGCTAAAGCGCCGCGAAAAACTCAATCGATAGCTCTTTTATAGGCCTTTCTGTAAAATGTTCTCAGATTTGACCTCAGGTCAACGGTTTAGCCTCCAGAGGGCAAAGACTCCAAAAATAACCGCTTTTATTGAGTTTTTTTTTTCGGCAATAACTTTTGACTCAAAAGAGCTACGACATTACTTTTCCCAGCATCGTGTTCCTAACTATAATTTGACTTTGAAAAGTCACTTGAAAATTTGACCTCAGGTCAAGGTCATGACCTGACCGGAAAAGGTCATTTTATATATCAGTCGATCCACATCGTTGAGCCGAACACATCTAAGGAGTTTTCAGCGTGCTAGCATGCCTCTATCATAAGTTATTAGCAAAAAAAAAAATGTTAGATCCTATTCGTGACCTGAGATGACCTCGGGGACATGACGAGGGATCACAGGTGCCATTTTCCATTTCAGTGTGTCAAGTTTGCCTGCACCCCGATGTTTGAGTGTCTAGAATGGCGTTCGTGCAAAACAAACGCCTTTCAATTTTCTCCCATTGACTTATGATTGAGAGGTCACAAATTTACCTGACCTTAGGTCACCGATATCAAAATTATGAGATATATGTTTTATAGATATTGCTACTTTTATCAACCGCTGAAAGTTTCAAGGCAATCGTTCAGTCGTTGTAGCTATGACGAGCATTCTATTTTTTTCTGAGGTGAGGTCACTTGGCGTGACCTGGTGACCTGACCTTGAGCGACCTGGGTCTGAAATTTTCACAACATGTGCGAAAAAGATGCACACCTGCTCCGCCGTTTTTGAAATATCTGCGAAAAGCCGCAGGGGGTGTTCAAACACCCCACCTCACCCCCCGCCCGGCGCGGGTTAACATTAGCCCTATTGGCGTTGCATGGAAAGAATGCGACCAAAAGTCGGCGGTGCCCCCTTAATTGAAGGTGTTCCGCCGTCATTGTTGTAATTTTTATATTGCTATTTGTCATTGATGCGCCGTTGATACCTACCGACATACCGCCCCAGTTGTGGTAAAAGGCGCCTCAAAAGTAAGAACGACTCAGTAGCGGTATAGGCGTCCCTGAGGGGCGCCCCAGTAGTGACAAGGCGCCCCAGTATCGGTAAGGCTTCCCAGGCGTGGCGGGGCACCTCTCAGTAGTGTAATGAAGCCCCAGTAGCGGCATTGAACCCAAACAGCGGTGGGCGCCCCATTAGTTGCAAGGCGTCCCAGTTGTGGCATAGCGCACCAGTAGTGGCAGTAAGGGCGAGTTTGTACTTGACTTACTGCTATCAGTAAATGCGCCCCTGTAGTGGTACGGCACCTCAGTTGTGGTAAGATGCACCCGTTGTGATAGGAAGCCCTGATAGTGGGAAGCGCCCCAATAGTGGTGGGCGCCCAAGTAAAGGTAAAGCGCCGCAGTGATAGTAGGGTATCCTAGTAGTTAAGTGCGCTCCACTAGGCAGGGCGCCCCAGGAGTGGTGCGGAACCACATTGTGAAAGGGCGCCCAAGGAGTGGGATAGTGTCAGGAGTAGTGGGGCACCCCATGGTGATGGGCGCCCCAGCCGTGTCAGGGCGCCCAGTGATGGTAGGGCGCCCCGTTGTATAGCAGAGCGCCGGAGGGCGCCCAAGTAGTGGTGGGCTCCAGTGGTGGTAGGGTGCCTCGTGGCGGTAGAGCGCACCAGAAACTTAGGGCGCCCCAGCACCAGCGGAACGTCACATTAGTGTTACGACGCCCCAGTAGCGGTACGGCGTCCCATTTCTGATAGGGTGCCCAAAGGTGGTTGGCGCCCCAATCGTGTCTGGGCGCCCCAATGTTGATAGGGCTCTTCAGTCGCGGTAGGGTGCCCTATTACCGGTAATCTGTCCCAATCAAAGTAGGGCGCCACAGTTGCGGCCAGCGGCAGGGCGCCCCCAGAAGTGAGAGGGCACCCCATTGGTGGTGGTGGCGCCTCAGTGAGCCCTTTTCCCCCTGTCAAGCTGAGTTGCGCCTCAAGAATGTGTCACCTCCGTGATTGTCGGCAGCTAATATCTGTGGGCAGAATTTTCGGCTGTTTTTCACTGGGGTGGCAAAGTAAGACGACTGGGGTGGAAAACCGCACCACTGGGGTGGGTTTTGCCACCCCAGTTAACATGTTAAAATAGGCCCTGGCGGGTGCCTCTCATTTGCAGATTGGCCAAGTTATTTATTTTGATAAACAGAGGCGAATGAAGGTGTTGATTTTTTACAGTTTTCAATGCGCTTAACCGAATGCACCGCGTTTGCCGCAGTGCGCAACATTTGTCCGGATGCGCTATTTTTGCCGCAAATCGCACAACTTTGTCAAATATGGTCCGATAAAGGTACAATTCGGTGGAAGGATGCATGGCAAAACGACAGGAATAAATGCACCACTTTTGTCGCAACGCGCCACATTTGTCACAAGGCGCCATTTCCATCAAATACGGTTAAGAATTATGGAATGACGCGAGTAGGAACATGGTTAGGAACTCTTTTTTTAGTTTATCAGTTTATCTGATGGTCTTTGATCTCACATAACCCAGTGGTAGTGGTGGTAGTGTAGTGGTAGTAGTATTGGTAAGAGTAGCGGTAGAAGTAGTGGTAGGGGTAGTGTTAGGGGTAGTAGTAGGGGTAGTGGTAGGGGTAGTGGTAGGGTTAGTAGTAGGGGTAGTAGTAGGGGTAGTAGTAGGGGTAGTAGTAAGGTAGTGATAGGAGTAGTAGTAGTGGTATGGATAGTAGTAGGGGTAGTGGTAGTGGTAGGGGTAGGGGTAGTGGTAGTGGTAGGGGTAGTGGTAGGGTAGTGGTAGTGGTAGGGGTAGTGGTAGGGGTAGTGGTAGGGGTAGTGGCAGGGGTAGTGGTAGGAGTAGTGGTAGGGGTAGTGGTAGAGGTAGTAGTAGGGTAGTTGTAGGGGTAGTGGTAGGGGTAGTGGTAGGGGTAGGGGTAGAAGTAGGGGTAGTGGTAGGGGTAGTGGTAGAGGTAGTGGTAGGGTTAGTGGTAGGGTTAGTGGTAGGGGTAGTGGTAGGGGTAGTGGTAGGGGTAGTGGTAGCGGTAGTGGTAGGGGTAGTGGTAGGGGTAGAAGTAGTAGAAGTGTGGCCGAGGCCTATCCAATGTGACGAGGTGACCTATACGACCTAACCTGACCGAAGATGACCTGGCCTGACCCAGTGTGACCAGGGAAGACCACCTTGACCTGACTTGACCCCGTATGACCAAAATTTCATCCTACTAAGCCCTCAGAATAGTGCATATGTTCAAAATTTTCTTCTGCACGTTTCCGTCTATATCTCTGCTTCCAGGCGACGCATCGATATAAATCAAATACCATTCGAAAGCAAATTGGCTGCTCCCGCATTTTATGGCCTACGCCGCGAAGCAAGTGGCGCAGCCGCTTGTCTACTATACTATTTGTGAAATGAAACTCTGTCTGTGTGAATGTGTGTTTGCACCGTGCAGAGGGGTGCTTTGACGCCGTGCGCAGGCCAAACGGTGCGGTCGAGGGGGCTGAAATTTTCGCGACGTGTTGATGACGTCACGCGCACGTGCAGTGTCGTGTTTCGAGTCCCGGGGGGTGGATGGTTCGCACGTGGCACGCGCTGGAAAAGTGCGTATTTCTTCACAAATTTGCTCGGTCTTCAAGGCATCGGCAGCCGAGTTCAATGGACTTTGACAATAAAATGCATGACGATCGGCAGCGGGTGCCTCTCATTTGCGGATTGACAGCTTATTTATTTTGATAAACATAGGCGAATGAAGGTGTTGATTTTCGGTAAATAAAGACAGTTTTCAATGCGCTTACACAAATGCACCGCGTTTGCCGCAGTGCGCCACATTTGTCCACATGCGCTATTTTTGCCCCAACTCGCACAATTTCGTCAAATATGGTCCGATAAAGGTGTCATTCGGTAGAAGGATGCATGAGAAAACGACAGGCTCAAATGCGCCACGTTTGTCGAAACGCGCCACATTCGTCGCAAGGCGCTATTTCCACCAAATATGATCAAGAATAATGAAATTACACGAGTAGGAGCACGGTTAGGAACTCTTTTTTTGGGTCATCAGTTTATATGATAATCTGTGACTTCACATGACCCAGTGGTAGTGGTAGGTGTCGTGATAGTGGTAGTGGTAGTGGTAGTGGTGGGGGTAGTGGTTGGGGTAGTGGTAGGGGTAGTAGTAGTGGTAGGGGTGGTAGTAGGGGTAGTAGTAGTGGTAGGGGTAATAGCAGGGGTAGTGGTAGGGGTAGTAGTAGTGGGGTAGTAGTAGGGGTAGGGGTAGGGGTAGGGGTAGGGGTAGTGGTAGTGGTAGTGGTAGGGGTAGTAGTAGTGGGGTAGTAGTAGGGGTAGGGGTAGGGGTAGGGGTAGTGGTAGGGGTAGGGGTAGTGGTAGGGGTAGTGGTAGGGGTAGTGGTATGGGTAGTGGTAGGGGTAGTGGAAGAGGTAGTGGTAGGGGTAGTGGTAGGAGTAGTGGTATGGGTAGAATTAGTAGAAGTGTGGCACAGGCCGATCCAATGTGACGTGGTGACCTATACGATCTGGCCTCACCGAAGGTGACCTTGCCAGACCCAGTGTGACCAGGGATGACCATCTTGACCTGACTTGACCCCGTATGACCAAATTTCATCCAACTAAGCCCTCAGAATAGTTATTATGTTCAAAATTTTCCTCTGCACGTTTCCGTCCATATCTCTGCTTCCAGACGACAGACCGATTTAAATCGAACACCATTCGAAAGCAAATTGGCTGGTGCGGCATTTTCTGGCTACGCCGCGAAGCAAGTGGCGCAGCCGCTTGTCTATATTACTATTTGAGGAGGGCGTAGTTTCTGTCTATTACGAAGGTCGCGACATGGTGCTACGTAGCGCGGGTTACAGATCACACCGTTGCACCTACCGCGCTGAAATTTGCGCAAGTTATAGAACAAGGATGGACAACGTGCCTTTGAGCGGTCTCGGCTCGATCGGATCGATAGCGAGCGCGTGGCGCGTGCCCAAAAAGTGCAAATTCGCGTCATAGACTTTACATGTATAAATCGGCTGGCAAAAACGGGCGAAAATGGCTAAATTTGCCCGACACGGGTCCGTTCCCCGTGCAATATCTCGGTAGCCGTGCGCCCGATCGGCACGGGGAAAACAGCATCGTGTAGAGAATCGAACGGGCAATCGAATAGTGTGCGGTGCAGGGGTGGCACGCGCCACGTGCAAGTGTGAGGGCAATTTCATTTCAAAAAGTGTCATTTTAAACGGATTTTGGAATTTATATTAATTTCAGGTGATCGTCAGACGGAATGAGTTGAAACAGCGCCTATTAGCAATAAAAATGTACCGTCTCTCATGGAAAAATTGTGAACAGCTAATTGATCAAAAACAATGTGGAAAAAAATCGCTGAATTAAATGGTATTTGTCCAAAATGTGCCACTAAATAATTACACGGATTTTGCTGCTTAACCTGATACGTTTGACAATTGAAAATGCTATCATTGGAAAGAGCATTCAATTCTCTCCAAGATCCAATCATCACGTTTGCATGACAAGCAACAGTATTCTTAAAAATATACATGTTTCAAACCTCTGCAAAACGATTTTTAGTGAAAATTATCTACGCCTTTAATTTGTCTTAAAACTACGCTCCTAAATTATAAAGCACATTTGACAGATTCTGAAGTGGAAAGCATGCTTATCAGACACGGGCACCTCGATGCGGTGGATATTTTTTCCACAAACCGAAACGTTTAGCCGTCAAAAAGCAATCGACCGAAATGGATAGATAACCCAACCGACACAAGAACAACCGAACACCCGCCGATCGAAAATATCCCTTTTCGCGTTGCGGAGCACGCGGGTCACCCTAGTAACTCCCTGTTTCACGATTTAATGAGGAAATGACATGGAACTGCTTATCTTATTACTGACCCTGCACATAAATCTATTAATTTCTTCGCTTTTACTGACATATAAAGACATAACCTTTTGAAAAATTGCACAACAAGCCTGCTACTACACCACACTCCCGTGTGTCACAATGCTAATCAGCGGCGTTCACTCGGCTTGCTCCTAACTTACGACAATTCTCCCGCTAGATGGCAGGCCTGAGCTCAATGTCGCCAAAAACTGCGAAGACACCAATCCATTATTATCTCATCCATGGTAATAGGCTAGCGTTGAGAGTAACATATTGTATCAGCTATCACGTTTAGTAGGCCAAAAATATGATTTTCCTGTTGGTTGTTCTAAAAGATTTCCGGTTTTCCGGACAGATTTTATTCTCCGGGGCCAGGACCGAAAGCAGTTTTAAAATTGGTGCCGGGCTGACGTCGGGTCGGGTAGGCGGAGGGGTGGGTGTTTTGGGACTGGTGGGATCGTCTTTCACGCATAATGTGCCCCTTGATAGTCAGTTTTCTCAGTTACGTTTGCACGTTGATGTATTCCTCGCCAGGGCTGCGGAGTCGGAGTCGGAGTCGGAGTCGGAGTCGGTCGGAGTCGACAGTTGTGACCGGAGTCGGAGTCGGAGTCGGAGTCGATTTTAGAAACCTGAGCCGGAGTCGGAGTCGGAGTCACCGAAAATCTGTCGACTCCGCAGCCCTGCTAGGTCTGCGGAGTCGGAGTCGGGAGTTGGAGTCGGTCGGAGTCGACAATTCTGCCCGGAGTCGGAGTCGGAGTCGGAGCTGGTTTTTGAAAGCCGGAGTCGGAGTCGGAGTCGGAGTCGCCGAAAATCCATCGACTCCGCAGCCCTGTTCCTCGCCCAATATCAGACTGGTGGTATAACTCGATCACCTAGCCATTGGCTGCCTCTCTGACCCGCCACGTGCCACCTCCTTCAGGGGCCTGTACAACAAGCCGGTGGCCAACGTGCGTCCGATGATGGTGGGCGGCCGGATGGTGCAGCAGCGCGGCGGGCTGAACCCGTTCGGCGGCGCGTCCCGGCTGTCCACCGAGCAGCTGAGCCGCCAGGGCGTCTCCATGTCGCACATCACCGTGCCCAAAGGTCAGTCTGTCCGCCGTCACCCGGTACCCTCCGCCGGCGCCGTCCGTCCCCCGGCGTACCGACTGCAGCCTGCCGAGTGGGCGGGTGTTTGCTGTCTATGAGACTATTTGCGCTGTCAATACTTGTATCTCCGACATACCGTTAGTATCGTACTTCCTCGTGCTGAATCACGATATCGGCCTAAGTAAATCCTGTGCTCAGTTAAGTGTTCCCGATTATCCGCTGTCACCTATCGGTCCTCTATATTTGTCGCTCAATGGCACCTGAAAGTCGGTAATTATGCAGTTACCGCCAGTGCAGCCAACTACAGCTGATTTTATTGCTGCTAAACTTTCCGCAACCATATGCCAGCAGATGGAGCCGGACTTACGGTAAATTCCACCAGCCCGTCATATGTCAATATTTGACTTGAGCATTGACAGTATAGCGGCTGGGAATCCGGGGACATCGGGCGGTGCAGCTGCGTCGAGCGGCTCCATTTTTCACAGTTTATCAGCTACTAGCCGCTCTCCTCTGTACTCCGTACGCGACGTGATGTATAGCAGCGTTCTCTATGATATTACTCGTGGAATACCCTGCTGTTTCTGTGTCCTATTGATTATGCATTCCGCCTAACTGCTCTGCAATATGCTGTATAGACACTGCACATTGACCCAACCACCATCTTTGGGATTTTTGTCATGTCAGCTGTCTGTGTGCTTACTCCGTTGGCCCATGATTCGCCGTTAGCTGTACTTTTCACTGGCACTCCACTTACTTTCATCAGGCTGTCGTCCGTCCGGCGGACACCAGGCCTGTAAATTCATACCGTGCAACGCCAACCATATGACCCGCGTGTCACCAATCCCGTGTGTGTCTGCAGACGTGACCGCTTCCTCCCCACACCCTCCGTGTGTCCGCAGACGTGACGATTCCGACCGGGTCCGGGGACGGCGAGCCGATCCAGCTGCGCGCCGGCCAGACAGTGCTCGTCATCCGCACTGCCAAGGGCGTCTACCTGCGACTGCAGGACGGACGCATCATCGCCATCCGCATGCCCGCCGGATCCGGTGAGAGGGGAGAGCAGGGCAGAGCGACGGGGGACGCAGTCGGTTGTAGGGACCGGCGACGGGTCTGAACTGTACGAGAGGTATTGGACAGGATGTTTGCTCAAACCAGTACTTTGTAATTTGTATTTGGCTGACCGTGTGGTGCTAAGCGGCTGAAGTGGTTTACATTGCGTTGTTTGGTATTCAGCCTGGAAATGTTTATGCCCGTTGAATAACAAGTTTTCCTGGAGCGGTCGGGAAACCCGTGACCCCTGTCCAGTGTTCTAAAATTGGATTTTGGTTGGGTGTGCCGATGAAGAAAAAAAATCCTAGGATGAGAAAAAAAGGAAATAAATAACCGAAGTATATTTGCAAAATGGTGTAATGCCAATTGGTATGCCAATGATAAACCAGGATTTCATGTCAGAATCTTGACAGGGTGTGAAACAAAAGAATGTGGGTACATCAACTATCAAGTGACATGTAAACTGGCTGTTGGGAATGCATGAAACTTTTTCAGAGATGAAGTAAAGTCGGTCATTCGTACAAATTTCATGTATGTTTCATGTATTTCATGTATTTCATGTATTCATGTATTTTATGTATTTTAGGGATGAAAGTATTTTCTCCATTAGGTGTGATTTGCCACCAAAAATCTGAAAAACGGAACACTGAGGACACAGACTCGTTCCATGTCTGGTGCCGACCTATGACTCTGGTCCCTCGTCCCCAGGCGGCCGCAGTGTGCCGGACCTGCTGGGCAGCTCCAGCCGGTACCAGCCGCGGCCCCAGCCGGCCTCCGCCGCCGGCCCGTCCGGTATTCGCCTGCCGCGCGGCATCACCGTGGAGCGGGTCCCGGCCGGCGGCAGCGGCAGCGGCAGCAGCGGCGGCGGGAAGCAGGGCGGCCAGTCGTGGGCGCGCCGCGCCGCGCCCGCGCGCGCCACCGTCAGCCGCTCGGCGCCGGCCCGCTCCGACTCGGACAGCGGGGACGGCGGCCTGAACCTGTCGGCGCTGCTCGGCCGCCAGCCGGCGCCAAAGGACGACAAGGGGAAGGCAGAGCAGCCGGCCACCTCCGCCGCGCCGGCCACCGCCACCGGTGGCGGCTCTCCCGGGGGCGGAGACGAGAAACAGACCGGAGGGAAGGCGCAGGACGAGCGGTCGGCGTCACCGGGCGGGACGGCCGAGGACGGCAACTCTGCGCTCCACTACCTGGACCGGGCGCTGGCCGAGTCTGCCGACAACTCCAGGGCGGACAGCGGCTCAGCGGCGGACGAGTCCGGCCTCGGCGGATCGCCGGCCGCCGGTCAGCAGCAGCAGCAGCAGCAGCAGGACGACCCCAGTGACCCGCTGTCTCGGCTGAAGAGCCTGGCGGTAGCGGCCAGCGGCGACGGCCGTCAGGAGCCGGGTATGCCGCCCTCGTCCATGGCAGACGATAAGATGATGGCAGACCAGCAGCGGCAGCAGCTGCAGGGCCAGCATCAGCAGATGCAGCAGCAGCAGCACCTACCGGCTCCACACCAGCAGCAGCAGCAGGAGCAGCAGATGCAGCACCGAGGGATGTCTCACCAGCAGTCGCCCTACCATCCGGACCTGGCCCAGAAGCAGCAGCAGCACCAGCAGTCTCTGGCGTACCAGGGCGCCGGTCAGCAGCGTGGCGACCAGGCCGGCGACGAGTTCATGGATACACACATATTCGACCTGAGCCACAAGCCGGGCATGGAACAGCAGTCGGCGCAGGACCTCAGTGGCGGCGGCGGCCAGGGTCTAGACCTGTCGCACCTCCCCCAGCAGCAGCAGCCGCAGCAGCAGCAGTCGGCCGGCCTGCACGGTCAGCTGGGGGGCCAGTCCGGCCGGATGGACCACCAGGCCAGGATGGAGCTGCAGCTGGCCGGTCAGCCGGCCAGGGTCAGCCACCCGATGGACGGCCAGGCGGGCCACGGCCGGCTCGGCGGCGGCTCGGCTGGCTCCATGTCACAGCTGGACCAGCGACTAGGGCTGACGCACGGCCACTCAATGCTGTCCCAGCCGCACGACCTGTCGATGCACGGCCAGCAGCCGGCGCTGGCGGCGCCCGAGCCGCCGCCGCCGCCGCGGTACGGCCTGCCGGCGGCGTCCCAGTACGGCGGCTCCCACCAGTCGCGCACGCCCGGCATGGAGCAGTACGGACTAGGCAGCGCGGACGGCTCCCAGCTGCAGACGCACCGGCACAAGGCGACGCCGAGCCGCCCCAAGTCCGGCTACCCGCCGCACCAGTCGCCGGCGCTGCACCAGCCCCACCTGCAGCTGGCGCCCGAGCCGAGCCACGCGCCGCCCCAACCGCCTCCGCAGCATCTCGGCGGCGGCATCGACGACCTGATCGCCGGCTTCGACCTGAGCCGGCCGACGTACAGCAGCGCGCCGGCGCCGACGGCCGTCAGCCTGGGCGGCGTCTCCACGGCGCCGCTGCCCTCTTTTTCGACGGTGTCGCAGCTGCCGCTGCCCTCGTTCTCCAGCGTGGCGTCGACGGGTGGTGGCGGCGGCGGCGGCCAGCCGGCGCCGCTGCGCGAGCCGCAGCCGCAGCCGATGGACACGGCGGCCCCGTCGGCGGCGCCGCCGGTGTCGGCCGCCTCTGGCAGCGGCAGCTCGAGGCTGGCCGAGGAGCCGTTCCCCTGGGAGCTGGGCGGCCAGTACCCGGCCGCCTACAGCCGCGAACTCGGCTACGCCGGCTACCCGCCCTACAGCATGGCCTACAGCCAGCCGCCGGGCGCGTACGGCGCGCCGGCGCCCTACCCGGCCTACGGGCTGTACGGCGCCGCGTCGGCGGCCAACTACGGGGCGTACCGGTACCCGGCCGGCTACCAGCCGTTCGGCGGCCCGTTCGGCGTGCCGGGCCTACCGCAGCCGTACGGCTCAGCCGAGCCGAGCGTTTCGGCGGCCGACTTCTCGCTGGGCGGCGCGATGGCTCCCGGCGAGCCCACCTACCGGCGGCCGCAGTAGCCGCCGCTAGCCGCGGCACGGACTGACAGGGTCAGCGGAGCGACACGCGCGCCCGGCCGCCCGCCGGGCTGTACAGGCCGTGTGCAGGAGCTCCAACAAAGCGCTATTGGTGGACCTTCTACGTGTATATTTAAAGTGTTGCCAAAGGCATTCTGTCCCTCTTCTATAGAGGTCCGTTATCTCTAGTCGTACAAACCGTAGGACTGCTTTGAACGTTTTATTCAGGACAGTTGTTGCAAGGATATGTCTTTTATGCTTTGCTTCGTTAATCGAGCGGTTGTACCTTTCTGAGTGGATGGACCAGCTGATAGTCGCTTCACTGTGTATTTGTGTGATACGAGGCGCGTCTTTGTAACCCCATGGCGAGAGTATCGCCGCACCATTGATTGATCAGCTGCCCGATTACCATACATTGTTTGGTAGTGTCGCCTACATCACTGTTCAGACTAAGAGCGGCGCGCCCGTTTGTGTTTCATCGAGAAGGGACGTAGTGAGGCCGTGTCTGTAAATGTGCGCCCGTGCGAGTTGGTCCGGCGGCCTCTGTGAGGCGCGTCGGCCGGCGCGCGGCCGCTGCTGTCGTTCTATCTGCTGCCAGCCTCTCGGCCCGCCGTCGGCCGCCGCTGCTGGTTTCGGCGGTCGCCAGCGGCTTCACTTTGTGTAATAATAATATATGGTATAGCCTGGCAGGCACCCTGTGTACTTGTGTCTGCTTTGATAGGGAAGGGGACAGCGGACCGCAAACCATCGGGGGATAAATTCGCGGCGCGACGGGTAGTTGATTGGACCGGTTGCGGATGTAACACTGGGGATAATTGATGTTATTTACGCACAGATAAAACGCGACTCGTGTATTATTTGCTGGGTATTTGTACAACGGCTCACAGTTCGGTTCACAGTTCGGCTGGTAATGTTCGCACCACTGACTGTTCGCTCACAGGCAGGCGGTTCTCACCCACGAGACCTCTAGAACCCGCTGCACGGGCGCGTCCAGGCCGGAGATCCGCAGCTCACCCATCTCCAGTCCATCCAGAAAGTCGTACGCGAACGGGTAAAAGCCGAGCTGCTGCAGCCGGAGCAGACCTCTGTACAGCCGCCTCAGGGCGTCCAGGTCGTGCCCGCTGGCACCGGCGCCGGCCCGGGTCACCGGCCGCACGTCCAGCCGGACGCCCAGCTGACGCACGCTGTCGGCCAGCGCCCGCGGCGGCTCCTCCAGGAACCGGGAGAACCCGTCGGCGTCCAGTGTGAGCGACAGGTAGCTGATGGGCCGGCGCCGGTGGCCGAGCCGGCGCACCCAGTCGTCGAGCCGGCCGGCGGCGCCCTCCTCCCGGTGGTGGCGCACCCCCACCTGGCGGCCCAGCAGCGGCTCGGCGGCCGGCGCCGACTCGGGCCCGAACGAGTGCGTCTCGCAGCCGTACGCGTCGGCGGCGACGTCGAACGAGGCGTCCTCGGGCGGCCGGACGGCGTACACCAGACACCGGTCGTCGACCAGAGAGAACTCGGGGTCGAAACAGAGGTGCCGGCCGCCCCACAGCATGGCGTTCCGGCCGCTCGGCGCGCGGATCTGAGAAAGGTCACAGCGTTAGGGCCAGGGACCAGGGACTGCAGGGTTGGCAGACGGGCTTACATACTCTGCATGTCATAACTGTTCTCTGTCCCGGTCGTTTGTGTCGGTGTGATCCTGACATTTGTCCCGACTCCCAGTTCATTTTGCCGATGCCAGTGTGCCCTGTACCGGTCTTCCCGGCCCATCCCGGCAGCCCTCTCGGCACAGCTCCTCAGTCCTCACCACGTGAGCTCCGATGGCCAGGTCCCTCTGGCATGCGGACGGCGAGGGCTGCGCTAGGTAGGTGAACAGCTCCTGCACCAGGGCCTCGTCGCCGGCGGGCTCCGCAGGCAGCGGCAGTACCTCCATGCGGGCATCGTGCCGCTCACAGGAGAGGGGCCTGTAGGACGGGGCACGCATGTCACTGACTAGCGTCCGCCCCCTGGAAGGCATGCCGTCATAAGTGCGAACGGGCTCACACCGGAGCCGGGAATTATCCACGTAAATCCCGCATCTACCTATCTACATAAGTGAGGCCGTAACGTTTCTGATAAATCCCATCATTTTTAGGCCATGAGTAGGCACCGTTAAAATTTTAATTCTTAAAAGTAAATAAAGTAGACACAGAGAATCTATCGGTTCATGGAAGCTTTAGGAGTTAATGTCAATTGCATAGGGATAAAAGTTTGTTATCAGCGCTTTTATATTTTTATTGACTTAAATTTTAAAATGCAAGTCACCGGACGGCACACTGGGCCCTGCAGGGCACTGCACCGGCGGACAGTGCAGAGGTGTAGCGCTCGGGACGGTCGGTCACCACTCACAGCGGCGAGTCGTCGGCGCCGGGCAGCACCAGTAGCACCAGCACCACGCCTGCGGCCAGCAGCAGCACCAGCAGACCGACGGCCAGTAGCGAGCGCAGCGGCCGCCGCGCCGACTGGGCCGGCCAGCAGGACGCCGCGCCGGCCGGGCCCGACCACTGGGACATCGCGGCCGACCGGGAGACGAGAGGCCGAGCACGGGCCGGGACGGAGGGCACGGCCTGGTGGGCGTCCTCAGCTGCTCATCCGAGGCGTCTCAGCGATCCAGATCACCTTGCGTACATTTCAGTCGCCAGCAGATAGTCGGATACGCTTATTCACGGAGACGATTCGGACACGACTGGAGGCCGCCGTCTTCACCGCTACGCTCGCAATAGCGATCTATAGTAAATACGCACGAATATCACCGACACTCGTTCTCACTGGGCTCGAATTTGACCACTCTTTGCTGGCACTGGAGAGACTGCACGAAAGGTGACCGGACCGCACAGCATTTCAGCGCGCACCGCGAACCGATGCCGACTGCCCGGCGCGGCGGCGCGTCCCGCTGCCGGCTGACGGGACGGACCGAGTCGCCGCGCCGTCCGGGGTCGGTGACCGGTGCCGCTCCTCCGCTGAGCGAGCTGAACGGTGGCCCCGGGGCATCGCTCGGCTCTCCACGGACGCTGCACGCGAGATGAGAGCTCCAGATGCTGCGCGGAATGCAGATGTCTCCTGTCTCCCTTGTCTGTCTGTCCGTCCGCCCGTCCGTCCGTCCGTCCGTCTGTCCGTCGGTCCGTCTTTCCCGTCTGTCAGTCTGTCGCTGTCCGTCTGTCCCGGGTCTGCCCCGTCCGTCGGTCTGTCGCTGTCCGTCTGTCCGGTCTGTCGCTGTCCGTCTGTCCCGTCTGGTGCTGTCCGTCTGTCCCGTCTGGTGCTGTCCGTCTGTCCCGTCTGTCGGTTCGTCTTTCCCGTCTGTCTGGTGCTGTCCGTCTGTCTTTCCCGTCTGTCGGTCTGTCGCTGTCCGTCTGTTCCGGGTCTGCCCCGTCCCTCCCGGGTCTGGTCTTTCCCGTCTGTCGGTCCGTCTTTCCCGTCTGTCGGTCCGTCTTTCCCGTCTGTCAGTCTGTCGCTGTCCGTCAGTCCGGTCTGTCGCTGTCCGTTTGTCGGTCTGTCAGTCTGTCGCTCTGTCGGTCTGTCAGTCTGTCTCCCTCTGCATCTGGCTCTGTCTATGTTTGTCTCTTTCCATGTCTGTCCCTCTCCTCTCCCTTGGTCTCGACACTCACCACTTTTCTCATTTGACTATGAGTCTTCGATTCAGGGGCGTCGCCGACGGGGGGGTCGCGGGGGTCGCGACCCCCCCACTCGTTAGAACCGGGGGGTCGACCCCCCCCCCCACTTTTGGCGATGCTGAGTATACTTTTTTTGAGCCATCATGTCAGTGAAGTTGGCGTCAGCAATATCAACAAATGAAACGTCAGATTCAGAATCGCTTCAAGAGCTCCCTAGTCCGGAGTCCCTATTGCTTATGTGTCAATAAGCTGTGGGCGTGTAACATCAGCATGACAATATTTTAAAGTAGCCACTATTCTAGTTCCTTTTTATCTCTCAAATGAGCGAGCGCGCCAAAACTGACCCAAGTGTTCGTCTGATTGTCAAAATAATGGTTGCAGTCGATTCGTCGGATGACGTATCAGTAACTACGAGGTACCTAACTAGCCTCAGCCCTGACTACCCTCGGACCTGCCTGCATAGGGGGAATGGGGTCAGATGGTGGATCCCTCTCGGGCTTTCCCAATAAGACGCGCAAAAAGGAGCCTATTGCAACGAAACTTCCAGTGACCTCGAGTTAACCCTCGCCCGCACATGGGGGGGTGGTTGCCACCCCCCCCCCCCCCCAGGTAGTCTTTCTGCTCTGCACTCAACATTTTTAGAGCTAGAAGGCTGATTTTTCGTATAGCTGCTCCTCTATCCTTTCTTGATGTTCACTGAAAATTTCAAGTTTCTGTGATTTTTGGTTTCGGAGATATGACCTTGTTTTTCAGGTCATGTCATGACCCAAATGGCCAATTCTCAACATCTTGCGCTTGCCATGGGCCTTGTGAGCTTTTGGCACCCTGATTTCGGCCGTTTTTGCCAGTCTTACCTCCCACCTATCATGGAACATGTTGTTCGACGATGTACAGGGGTCAAGGTCAGGGTCAAGGTCAACCTAGGTCACCTAAGATAATTGCGTTTTAGGCAAGCTGAATTTACTTTTTGTGAAGTTTTTTGACTGCATTTTTGGTAAAAGCTTCTCAGATCATGATTTCATGTAATATGGACCCAAAAACAATCGGTGCACACATCAGTATACACACAGACACACACAGACATACAAACACATATAATTGACCTTGACCTAACTTGACCTGAAATGACCTCAGCAGCAAAATTCTGGTCGGGTAGTGTGACAAAGAGGTTCTAGCTGGCTTGGCACCAGAAAACAGCATCGTCATCGGTATTTGATAAGCAGCGCACTTGATATCCAACGGTGACCCAAAACAGCAACATTTTTTAGTTTGACCTGACCTGGAAGGTCAATGACTGACCTGAGAAGATAAAACTGGGTATCATTGGATTCGTCTCTTCCCAAAGAATCTTTTTGGTCTTTACTGCTAAGCTCTATCTCCAACAGGAACGAAATGGCGCGGGGGGGGTGGCAACCACCCCCCCCCCCATGTGCGTTCTAGGATGGGAAAATGGCATGTGCGGGCGAGGGTTAATGAATTTTACACCTACTCTAAAAATTTATTGGCCCTGATTCGAATATGGATGACCTTGGTTCACTTTTTGGGTTTTATTTGCTTCCACTTACAAGTGAAATTTTTGGAGCTGATTTCGAGTTTAGCGCCCGTTTGGACATTTTTTTGGACAAGAAGACGTTTGGACAAGAAGTAGTTTTGATTAATATTGGTTATGTAACATGTTACGAAGCTATCGTTGGTGGTTGTCACCCACTCTAGATGGCCGGCAGGAAGCCTGCTGGTCGACCTGACCTGACCCGACCCGATCTACCCCAAATGCATGGAGCCATCATTTTTGTTCAAAACTAACATCGAACTCGTACTTGGGACCCCGATAACAGCTACGGCTCACGAAGTTCTAGCACCGTTCCATGCTTCTATCCTCAGGATACTGAAATCCTTCTCCTCCACGCCGCAACCCCCTCCGGGCTGGACAGGCAACTTTATCTCATGCGGGCTGCTCCCTTGGAGCGGCACCGCTGCTCCCGAGGGAGCGCACCCCGTAGCCGGGTGCAGTGAGTACCTTGGGGCTTGGTGGCCTGCCCTCTGGGCGGGCTCAGCCCCGGTGACTCACTAGGGTGCCTGCCCAGACCAATGTCTCCCCCTATATCCTATCATCCTTCCGGCTCTGAAATGGTCTCAGTGGACCGAAAGGGCCTAACCCAACAAAACAAACAAACAAAAGTTCTAGCAGGCCAGATTTTTTCTTCTTTTGGGCGTTGACCTAAGTTGACCCGGCCAAGACCTTGAAATTGGGCATCATCGGCTTTCTCTCTGCACGGGCAGCATCCTCGCTTTTCCGCGAAGTTCTACCTCGATCAGGGGCCGAAAGCATACCTTAGTGTTACGTTGGTAATCGTTTTACCTTAGCGACCCGTAAAACACGAATGAGAGCTACAGCGACACAGAAAGCGTATTCGATAGCTTTTTTAAAGCTCTTTCGCCAACTTCGCCTCAGATATGACTTCGAGTCTATGGCTTGTGTACCACAGAGGCCAAACAGCTAAACGGACGGATTTTGCCGAAACATTTGTTCTGTAACAACCTATGATTCAGTGAATGTGTATGATATTAAAATGTTATCACCATCGTCTTTGTTTCGTCGAAACACGTCGCATGGCTTACGATTTGAACTTAAAAACTTTACTAGAAAAGTTGACATCAGGTAAAAGTCATGTTCTGACCGGAAAAGAACCTGCTGCATATGGATCGATCTGTGTTGTTGAGCTGAACACACTCGTGCTGTCATTGCTCTACAGCGTCTCCATCAAAAAGTTGTCGAAAATGTGTTAGAGACCTTTGATGACCTAATGACTGACCATTCCAGTCACCACTGGTCATTAGCTGCACCTTGTCTCTAAAATGAGCAAGGTGCCATGGCTACAAAAGTATCTAGCGCTTTTAGCAAATTCGTTCAAAGCAGAGGGCATTCGTGCTTTTTCCCATATCTTATCATGATTGGTGAGGTCGGTCACATACTTAACCTGACTTCACTTCTCAGATGTAAAATCCCAGATTCATGAACTGTTGGCACTTATAATCCCATTCATTACACCAAATTTCAGGTTTATAGGAGATAATCTATAGGAATGAAAAGATTGCAGTTTTTAGAGGCATTAAAACTGAACTTTACATGATATTGTGACCTGACCTCAAGTGACCTGTGCTTGATTTTTATGCATGATGCAAAAGTGATGTACAATAAAATATACCGCTGCTTTCGTGGCGCTGCGCGCCGACGTTTTTCTCAACACACGAAAAAACCGGGAGTATGGCTAAAAACACCCCTACCCATCAAGACGAAGACCGGAAACCCGACCCCCCCACTCAAAAATCCGTGGCGACGCCCCTGCTTCGATTGCCGCTAGGTGATCTCATTTGATCTCATGACTCTCATTCGCGCTTTTGGTTTGAAGACTTCTGCCTACAAGGAAACCGGAAAATTAACTCGATTCAACACGCCAGTAGCGGCGGAACACCTTCAACTTTTGGTCCCATTATTTCCATGCAACGTCCAAAGGGCTAATGTTAAAATGCCAAAATAAAGGGGGCACGGTGCCCCGGTGCCCCCCCCCCCCCCCGTTTCGCCGCCTATGCAACACGCCCGCTTATTTTCTGTCCAGCAGCATTCAAGATGGTGAATTGTGATGTACCTAAACCTCCGTTCCAGTTCGCTTTAATTATGCGACCATTAGAATTTTCGGTTTTCATAACCTCCTTGCACTTCAATAAATGTTACTGAATGCTCAACTCTATTGTTTACTGTCCCCTATCGAGAAAATCGGCGGGAAAAACGAAACGTGCGCACGTGCGCAGCAAGGCGCAGCTTCCGGTCTTTCCAGCTGCCAGCAAGTTTCCGGTCCGGCAGTTTCCGGTGGCAATTCCCGTGTGTCGGTCGCGGCCGCCGTCGGGTCGTATATTTGCGGCTTTCTACGTTTGCACGGTATATGACGTTTGTCTGGGCCACGGCTGCTCAGAGATCATGTCAATGTGTGTGTTTTGTTTTTGTTTTGGTACCGTGATATGCGAGTGAAAGAAGAAGGAAGTGAAATCAAAATGGTGGCATTTCGCAGTGGTTCAGGGAGGTGTGCCAACATACCTCAACCTACCAGACCCCAGCGAAGGAAGCGACGTCAAAGGACAAAGTTTACGTTTTGAGTTGGGTGGTGGTGATTTTGTGAGTGTTGGTGTCGCGAGTGTCGCTGCCAAGGCCATCTATCGAGTCGTTGCTGCCCTGCGGTGAGGATCAATGAAAGGTGAATCGTCAGTGGTCGACGGCCAGGAATGAAAGGATCGACGGACGCCACATCAACATCTTCTCAACTGTTACGAGGGAAGTGGCTCCAACTTTGGAGCTCAGAAGGTCAGTCCCGATCCCACGTCAGTCCTCTAGCGGGCACGTCTCAGTCTTAGACTCTGGATATGAGGTCACCTCATTCATTGTTCCTCGTTCTGGTTCCTGCTGGGCCTGCCGGGGCGCGTTAGTTAGCCGGTCATCAGCTGATTGTCGTCAGGTGACCTCGGTGACCTCGAGCTTAACCTGCGCCGGGCCGGGGGGGGGGGGTTGGGTATCGGCCCCCTGCGGTTTTTCGCAGATATATGAACACCCCCCTGCGGGTTTTCGCAGATATCTCAAAAACGGCGGCGCTCCGCGCCGCCGTTTTTGGCACACCTGTTCGTGCATCTTTTCCGCACATGTTGTGAAAATTTCAGACTGAGACCCAGGTCCCCTTAGGTCAGGTCACCAGGTCACGCCCAGACTGCAAAGTATGGCACGCAGGTCGACGAGGCGCACCGGCCCAAGTTCAAAATCCGCACCAACCCTTCAAACTGAGCCGGAAAATCCGCACCAAAGTGGGCTGAGAGCCGAAAAATCCGCACCGAACCGACAGGCAATTATAATGCAAGGGACTTCATTCATCTCACCATAATTACTTCCCCTCCAAGTTCAGTTTCACGAGAAACGCTCGCCACGGGACCGCGCCGAGCACTTGTACCGGAAGTTTGAAACAGAGCAAATAGACGGACGTCGGTGAAAACAGGGCGCCGGAAGGCATATTGGGTCACGTGACATTCGGAACTTCTCCCTCTCTGTGGGCCTTCTACATGCTAAATGTCACGTGTGAATTTGACGATCCTTGATAAAGTCGCCCCAACAAACTTTCGTATGAGTAAAACTAATGATGACATTCCAAAGTAGCGTGCTGATTGGCAATTCAAACCAGCTGCTCGCAAATGTGACATACCAGTCACCACCGCAACAGTCTTCGTTCTAATGACGTCGTCATCACATTAATTTCCGAGGCGAGAATGGATTTGTTCTGCCGCAATTGTTAGTTCGTAGAGTAAATTTAAAACCTTTCTCCGTCACCGTGCGTCACCGTAGCTGGCACGCATTTGTAGGGCTTTCCAAAGAACAGTCAACAAGGGAACCCGGCCGGGTAAGAAGACCAAGCGAAGTCCGCACCGCATCAAGGTCCAAGCCAAATCCGCACCGCACCAGGCAAAATCCGCACCGCACCACTCCAAAATCCGCACCAGCCGAGCAAGCCCGCACCGACGAGATCTCGTCGAAATTGCCATACTTTGCAGTCTGGGGTCACGCCAAGTGAGCTCACCTCAGAAAAAAATAAGAATGCTCGTCATAGCTACACCGACTGATCGATTGCCTTGAAACTTTCAGCGATTGATAAGAGCAACATATAAAATGTATATCTCGGAATTTTGATATCGGTGACCTAAAGTCAGTTCAATTTTGCGGCCTCTCCAATCCCCATTATAATGCAATTGGAGAAAATTGAAAAGCGTCTGTTTTGCACGAACGCTATTCTAAACACTCAATTATCGAGATGTTGGTTAAATTAAAACACTGAATCGGAAAATGGCAACTGTGACCCCTCGTTATGTCCCGCAAGGTCATCTCAGGTCACGAACAGAATCTAACAGTTTTTCGCTAATAACTTCTGATAGAGGCGTGCTAGAGCGCTGAAAACGCCTTAGATGTGTTCGGCTCGACGTTGCGGATCGACTGATATGCAACATGACCTTTTCCGGTCAGGTCATGACCTTGACCTGAGGTCAAATTTTCAAGTTGACCTTTCAAGGTCAAATTTTAGTTCATCCGACGCGTCTCGACGAGAGGAACACGATGCTGGCAAAAGTAATGTCGTGGCTCTTTTGAGTCAAAAGTTATTGACGAAAAAAAAACTTTTTTCGTAAAAACGGCTATTTTTGAGTTTTTGCCCTCTGCAACGGTTAACTCAGATTTGACTGCAGGTCAACGGTTAACCGTTGACCCGAGGTCAAATCTGAGAACAATACTCAGAAAGGTCTGTAAAAGGGCTATCGGATGCGCTTTTCCGCGGCACTGTAGCTCTATCGGTTCCCGAGATAGCCGTCGGCAGTTCCCGAAATGTTGAAATAGTCAACATTTTACCTTTGGTGAATGGTGACCTCTGGACCTCTGGTGACCTGACCTTTGACCTGACCCAAAAAATGACCGAAGTGTTTTCGTCCTTGTTTTGGACGTTCTTTCAATTGCCGCTTACCGCGTGTCGCTACGTGGCCCAGGAGCCGAGTTAGAAAGGGGGGGGGGTGTTTAGACCCCCCGGCCCGGCGCGGAATCTCGGAGCACCGGCCCGGCGGGGGTTAACGCTCTCGCCCTCTTATACGACCTTGCTCTCGCCTACTGTAGCCAGCACATCACCGTCATCGTGTTGCTCTGAGCATAAGCAGTCGCTGATCGCCGAAGCGATCGAGACGAAAACGCTACCATTCGATTCGCCGTATGCTTTTTCATGGCGTAAGGAAACGCCGTTATGTTGACCTCTCGAGGTCACAAAGGTTTCTTGAGGTCACCATATTTGAAAAAAATGATGGCATTGCATGATACAGGAAATCGAATAGAGGCTTGTTCGTCCCGATAGACTTGGCAGTTGCTGATTCATGGAATGCCTGCGAATAATGGGATATACGTACTTAAGCGAAAACATAAGATACCTAGGCATAGTATAGTTGACCTTTCAAGGTCACCAAGGCCACCTGGGGCAATGCAGGCGCAACTATCGGAAACGGCCTTGTGTGATATTGTATACGGCACTGTAGAATAATTGTGGGTTTCGTCTCGATCCAATAGATGGTCCCAAGAGGAGAAAAATTGGACTGACCTCTCAAGCCTTCTTAAAGGCCGAACCGCCGAAGGGCATCATATTTTCGTCGGAACGGCTCATGAAATTGTAACGTGCTGGTGGTCCGAGTTTTCCGTGGTGTTCTGGGGGGGGGGGGGGGTGTAACTGTTCTCACGCCCCCCCCCCCCCGTGTAACTCGGCCACGTACGTGGCCTTAGTGACGTCGTGACGTGACTGACGGTCACGTCAACTGGCCGTCTTTCCGGTACTCGTTTCCTGGCCAGTAGGTACTCTTGGAGTCTGGGCCACATAGCGACACGCGGTAAGCGGCAATCGAAAGAGCGTAAAAAATAATGACGGAAACATCAAACACTTCAGTCATTTTTAGGTCAGGTCAAAGCAAAGGTCAAATTTTGTCTTTCAACAGTTTTCGAAGCACCGGCGCAAAACTCGGGAACCAATAGAGCTACAGCGCCGCAGAAAATCGCTTTCGATAGCCCTTTTAATTCTCTTTCTGGAATGGGTCCTAGGACCAATATTTGACCTCAGATCAACGGTTTAGCCTCCAGAGGGCAAAAACTCTCAAAACAGTCGTTCTTGGAATCCTGTACTAACTTTTCACTCAAGAGAGTCACGACATTGTTTTTGCCAGTATCGTGTACCTCTCGTCGATATGCGTCGAATGAACTATAATTTGACTTAAAAAGGTCATTTCACAATTTGATGTCAGGTCAAGTTCATGACCTGAACGGAAAGGGTCGTGCTGCATAGGTATATTAGTCGATTCGTATCGTCGAGCTGAACACATCTGAGGCGTTGGCCACCGCTCTAGCACGCCTCTATCAAAAGTTATACCTAGTAAAAAATAAACTGCTGGGAAGCTTTCAAGACCTGAGATGACCTCAGGGGAACACAGGGGCACCCGGCACGGGTTCAATTTTCCAATTCAATGTGTCGTGTTTAACTAAAAACCGATGTTTGAGAGAGTTGAGAACGACGGCGTCCAGAAGATCGGCGCACTTTAATTTTCTCCCGTTGACTTATACCTAATGAATGGAGAGGTAAAATTGACCTGACCTTAGGTCACAGATATCAAAATTCCGAGATATACAATTTATATACACTGTTACTCTTATCAATCGCTGAAAGTTTCAAACCAATCCCTCGGTCGGTGTAGCTACAGCGAGCATGGGAACTTACCGAGTAAGGTCACTAGTAAGGTCGAGTAAGGTCACACGTGATCTGGTGATCTGACCTTAACCCTCGCCGGCACAGGCCATTTTGCGTCCTTCGACGGCACAAGGGGGGGGGGTTGGTACAACGACCCCCCTCGCGTTTGGTCCCTGGTCGAGCTAGAGCTTCGCGGAAAAAAACGAGCGTGTTGCCCGTCACGAGAGGAAGCCGATGAATGATGATACCCAATTTTAAGGTCCTAGGTCATCGGTTGACCTTCCAGGTCAGGTCAATGACCCAAAAGTCTGGAAAATCGGGACCTGTTAAAACGTCATAAAGTGTGGCTTCAATAGGGTTTTCGGGGTGCTGATCACAAATATCGTGTTAGTTTTGATCACAGATGATGCCTTCAAGCATTTAGGCCAGGTCGGGTCGGGTCAGGTCAGCTTTCAGATTTCAGCAACACGCATAAACCGTATAGTTAAACTGTATCGCTGACCAGAGCTCCAGCGCAATGCAATACTAGCCAGTGCATTGGCCAGTATCGGAAAGCTCAAGTAGCACGAGCGTTCTTTACTGAGCCAGCTGTGGTCGTTCAACTCGGTTTTCGTAGTTCAACAGAACTACCGCATTGCTGCAATCACCAAATAGCGCCTTCACCACAATAATAAACAATTTGTACGCGGTCGTGGCTCGGCTCTGTGCGGCCCCCTGCGCCCCCCGTCACGATCAGGCAACTCTCTCCGATTGGCCGGCTCTTCTTGTTCACGTCGTCACGTGACCGGCCGCGCTGATCAGCTGAGCGGCCGGCTGGCTCGCCTGGCTCGGCTGGCCGTCGGCCGCTGCTGTTTACCTCCGTGGCGGCGCGGCGGGTCGCCGGCGTCCGCTGGGAGGAGGGGGGACGGCAGGCACGCGGCGGGTGGTGGCAGAGCGGCAGTGGAATCTCAGCAGTGAGGGGCTGTGTGTGGTGGAGCCAGGGGTCCGCAGTCAGGCCGGTCCCCAGTGAACGATGCACGTGTCTCGAGCCAGGCGCTTTGGCTACTTGGCGACGGAGAGCGTTTGGAGCACAAGCAGTCTGTGAGCGACTTGGCGACGGAGAGCGTTTGGAGCAGTCTGTGAGCGTCACGGCCGCGGTAAGTGGGCGCAGTTTGAGTTCACTCTGCCGCCGCATACTTTGTTCATCAGTATACCATGTGGAGATCAACTGCAATTTGTGCAATAGAGCTTGCAAAGACACTGGGTTACCACATGTTGTCGCTCAAGCTACTTAAAACTTAAGACAAAACGATGCCCACACTTGACGGGAGATTCTCGTTTTGAACCTGATCAGTAAATTCGCAGACATCTCTCCCTCCCCCTCTCCTTCTCTGTCTCCATCCCTCCATCCCTGTCATTTTCCCTCTCCCCTTTCCCTCCCTCTTCTCTTCGCCTCCGTCTCCCGTTCCCCACCCTGTTCCCTTCCTCTCCCTTTCCCGTTCTTCTTCTCCTTCCTCCCCCTTTTGTCTCTCCCCCTCCCTTCTCCTCTCTCCCCAATATTCCTATCTGCCCCTTCCCTCCCCCTGAAATATGTTGTTGTTGTTGTTGTTATGGTTTAGGGCGCTTAGCGGCGAGGCTCTTGCGTCCAACGTCTTGATTTGTGAAGTTCACATACTTGCACTCATCTTCGCTGGGAAGATTGGGAACTAAGCAGGGTAAACTAAGCGGTGAAAGGGATAAAGGATGGTTATTGCAGGGTAGGAATTTCAGCAGGGACAGGTGATTGGCGAGGACAGTAGACGTTTAAGTTAGTTTGGTTAATCATCAACAGTATTCTAAGCTATCTACGCCTCCAGACTTCTGTAAAAAAAACTTTGTTAGTGAAAGCATCTACATGATCAAGTGATACTTAGTAGGTATATGCTAAGTTGGGGTAGCCAACCATACCGTGGCATCTAGACAACAATCGGGGGAAAACATGAGGAACAAGACATGATAAGCAACAGTGCATGGTGACAACTCGTCGATCACAACATCGTAAACAGGCGACAATCCTTAAGATATTGGAACACTGCATCGAGTAGCGCTGGCGTTTTATCACCCAACAGCGACCGAACATCCATTCTCACGTCATGTAGCAAGCAAGCTGTAGCTAGCTGTTGTCGTTCCCGACGATACTTAGGACACACTATCAAAAAATGCGTGACATCAAGTTCACAGTGGCATAGGTCACAGAGTGGAGGTCGATCTCGATCAATTATGTAACGATGAGTAAGCAGCGTGTGACCCGTTCGCAATCTGCACAGCACTTTTTCTTCTCGTCGATCCGCCCGAACCACCGATTCCCAACACCCAGTGTCTGGCTTGACCGTTTTTAAAAAAGTGGGGCGATAATCGTGCCAAAGTCGTGCAAAATGGATCAACGTGCATTGTCTAACCACAGAAGTGAACTCACGATGTCCGACATTAACTCTCAATATTGTCGGTTTCCTGTGCGACATTCTAGCCCCATGATCTGCCAGCACATTCCCGGCAATGCTGCGGTGTCCAGGAATCCAGAGGAACAGGCAAACACAGTTGTTGCAAGCAAGACGATACAGCAACTCAGATATCTCAATGAGGACACCATGTGTACGATGATGTGCAGAAATTGCCAGTATAGCCGATTTAGAATCAGAGCATATCATCACCTTCTCAATTCGGTGGTTCATCGCATACTGTAAAGCCTCCCGAATCGCTACCAACTCTGCAGTGAACACAGATAAGCAAGAGTCCAGTTTGTGGGAAAAGAAAGCATTATTCACTGTGTAAGCACAGCCAGTAGATCCACCCATCTTAGAGCCATCCGTGTAAAGTCTCCGAAAATCACTGAATTTCGCAATATGATCTTGAAACGCCTCACGTATATCAGTTTCAGACACGTTCCTCTTGTCACGGATCAGCATGTGCCATGAAACATCAGGCAATATCCAAGGAGGTATTACTCCTCGAGGGGACAACACATCCTGTGGCAACTGAAATCTCAATTCTCTACATATATCAAACAGTCTATGATAAATGGGAAAGCCGGAAACCCGCCGGAGATATTTCTCAGACAGACCTCGTGTCACATGCCGGTTGCCATCAATCTCAACGAGATTACGACAAGGATGTCGAATGTCCCCCTTGACCTTCAGCAAATAGCGTAATGTCAACTCCTGTCGACGGACCGAGAGGGGCACAACATGGGTCTCAACCTGCAAGGATTGTACTGGGCAGGTTCGCAAAGCTCCCGAGGCTATACGCAAAGCAGTGTTCTGTACACATTCAAGTGACTGTACCATACGACTCCCGGACCCGTCTAAAATCACTGCTGCATAATCCAGTATAGGACGAATGAGGGACTTATACATCCGTAGCAGTATGGTTCGATCTGCGCCAAAATCCTTCCCTGACACACATTTCAGTACAGCCATGCGTTGTAAGGCCTTGGCTTTGGTGTATTGGACATGAGTGGTAAGACTGAGTTTGTTATCTAACCACACACCTAGGTATTTAACTCTGTCTGCAAACTGAATCGGTGCATCGTTAATCACCAAGGTAGGGCAAAGCGCAGCTTCGACACGCCTCAGACTACGCCGAAATAGCACGGCAGTAGATTTCTCTGCTGAGAAATAGAAACCGTTATCTCGTGCCCAATCTCCCATAATGTGTAAGGCCTGTTGAGCTTCGGCAAAAAGTCTTTCAACCTGTCTCCCTTGAGTCCAAATGGTAACATCGTCAGCGTACATGGCATATGAGATCCCAGCAAGAATGGCATCAAACATAGAGTTTATCGCAACATTGAACAAAAGGGGGGACAAAACTCCTCCCTGGACGAGTCCAATATCTTGTGGGAAAGTGTCGGACAGCACACCACATCGCACCTGGAATGTACGGTTACAAAGATATGCTCTCAGAAAGTGCATCAAGTGTCCACGAAAGCCTAAAGAATACAACCGATGCATCAGTAAGTTCGGTGATACCGTGTTGTAGGCCGATTTGATGTCGAGGAAAACAGCAAGGGTCGAGCAGTGATGAACAAAACCATCTCTGATGTGTGATTCCAAGCGTATCAGCTGATCCATAGTGCTGCGGTTCTCCCGAAATGCGCACTGATACTTCGATATAAGGTTAAATTGTTCAAGGCACCACCCTAGTCTCTTTCCGATCATCCGTTCCATGATTTTACACAATACCGATGTGAGCTGGATTGGGCGGTATGCATTCACCTTATTACAATCCTTGCCAGGTTTCAGTATCGGTATAATATATGAATGTGTCCAGGTCTGTGGGAATTGATCATTTGTCCAGATGAAATTAAAGAATTTCAATAGTTCTCTTAAGTTCACTTCACCCAAGTGCCTGAAAAACTCATAATGAACTTTATCGGGCCCAACAGAGTTCGAGCCTGATCTAGAGATGGCTGTTGTAAGCTCGCGGTAGGAGAACTCCCTGTTATAGTCAAGATTGTCGTGATCGTCAAAGTCAGGCATCGTGTCAGCAAGCAATCTCTCTCGTTCAAGGAAAGCCTCAGTATGGATGGTACGAGCACTCAAGCTAGCAAAGAAGCGCCCAAACGCGTTGGCTACCTCTAAAGGCTCGTCGATGACATCTCCATTATCAAAGAGAACTGGAAATCTCCGCGTTATCCGTCCCTTGCACGTGAACTTTCGCAAAATGTCCCAGAGTTTGTTCATGGGTGTGCGATGATTAAAAACAGAGATCAGTTCCCTCCATGAGGAAACCTGAGCCTCTCGAGTTATACGTCGAGCCCTGGCTTTGGCGCGTCGATACTCTATTCTTAAGAAATCTGAGTAGGGGTTGCGTCTCATTCGGTTCTGAGCTCTCCTCCTCTCCAGCAAAGCCTCTTTACAATGACCGTTCCACCATGGACAATGATATTTAGAGTTACCCTGTCTCGTGGGGACATATTTCTCTGCACATGTCACAATGGCATTTACCATGGCATCACAGTTGTCAACGCCAAGATCACTGTCAAATTGAATGTGGCAGTCCTGCTGGAATTCTGTCCAGTTGGCCTGTCCAACTTTCCATCCTGTGAAAAATGCTGGTAAATCAGGCATAACCTCCGCTGTGTCAGGCCCCATTCTGATGTGTATAGGAAAATGGTCACTGGAATGGAGGTCTTTCACGGTATTCCAAAATAATACATTTGCAACATCATGTGTAGCCACAGTCAGGTCTATATGTGATTCTGTGCCAGAGTAATCGTCCATCCTAGTGGGTTGTCCATCGTTCAAAATTCTTAAATCTGATTGTTCAATCACATCCATCCATATATGTCCTCGTCTGTCATTCTGAGGACTTCCCCACATCATATGTTTACTGTTGGCGTCAGTACATAATATAAAAGGCATGGGCATTCTAGTGATTAAATGTGCGAGTTCATTGCTGGTAAAAGCTTCTGCAGGGGGAAGATACAAAGAGCATATGGTGATCCGTCTGTTGTGTAAGCGAACTGAAACCACCACAGCCTGTAGTTCTGTGTTGACGCTGACCTGCATATGAGGCAGTTTGTTGGTAACATATATGGTGACACCACCTCCTCGACCACCCTGAGGAGAATACTCATGATAACCACTGTAACCCGGCAATCGAAATGTATACCTGTCATTAGCCATGAAGTGTGTTTCCTGGACACATATAACATCATAGTTGCCAGTCATAAAGAACTGTTTTGCCTCTGCCCACTTCCCTATAAGCCCTCGAGCATTCCATTGCAGTATGTTAAAAGCCATGTTGCTCAGGAATGATCATCCACCATAAGACACAGTCCACAACAGTTCCCCTGCAACCACTAACTGGGTGGAATAGGGCATCTGTGTGGATATGATGCATACTGTACAAATTCATCCATTGATCAACAAGAGTCCTGATCAATTTGTATTGTGTATATATCCAGAAGTAAAACCAGCCTCTGGCTGGTTTTATCTGAATCAAAATTAACATGTTGGCTGTACTAGGTAAAGATCCCTGTGTTCTCTGCTTTCTTTTTCTTTTTCTTTTTTCTCCCGATCTCAGGGCTGGACCTATCCAGCTCCAACATCTGAGCCTCACTGTTTCCTCCAAGGGAGGATGGAGATGACACACTGTTGGATTCATCCTCCCCCATTGA